ATATATATATATATATATATATTACTAGTCTAACAGATTTTTAATATATGTTTTCCGTTTATGTTTGGGAGTATTTTTAAAAAAGGATGGTGGTCATTAACGTAGTAAAGGTGACATTTGCCCATTATTTTGAGCGACTGCACTTTTGTCCAACTGTAGCAGAGTATTTTACTTGTTCCACTCCGGATGGGACTAAACTTTAATACGCTACTGATGGTGATCCACGTAGGCTTACCTCTCATTTGCCTGTTGTTTAATTTATTCATAAAACCCTCCCGAGGCCCCGAAGTCACCCAACCTGAAGCTCTGACCACACAACTTTGAAGTAAAATTTTAAATTAAAAAAAAAAAAAATCAAGTTATGATTAAAATTCGTTATCAAACTATACAAAATTATCACACTCACCCATTACGAATTATATTGTACTTATAGTTATAGATCTACTGAGGCCCATACTATAAATAAACTTCAGTCTTAACACTGAAAATCTGCATTTTCAAACAATGAAAGGACTATTTAACTATTTAAGGCTTAAGGACAAATGATGTGAATGTGGAAACTTAGTTGAAAGGAATTCAGAGCAGCAATGAAAGATTCTACTAAAAAGAAGCTGATCCTAATGGAAACCCAGTTTCACTAAAAATTAGAATTTTACAAAATGATATAACATTTTTTGATCAAAATGGCTAAAACACGCATTTTTTTTGGGGTCAATAAAAGGTACCAAATTACATGTTAAAAATATCATTTACACCGGACTGCATTTACTCTCTTCAATAACAAAGGCCAGCTGGCCTTTGCAAATATACTTTTAAATTATTTACATTTCAGTGATTGAATTCACTAACAAAATATAAAAGTATTAAGTAATTATTTTAACGCAGAATAAATTTAATTGATTAGCCTAGTTGTTAACGATCCTGATAATATTATTTTAGGAAAATTCAGATAGAAAGTAGCTTTCACTTTAATAGCACCTGGCAAATAATTCGGGAAGTTGTCGCAGAATGAATCAGAAAGCGCTTTCCGCTAAAGATTAATTGTGATAGATCCCTAATAGTTGTTTTAAAATATAAATAAACTATATAGTATTCGTCTATTCTTTTTATCCGTCAACAGAAAGGTAGCCTAATATTTTTAAAATTTAAATAGTTAAAATACTATCCTACGCTGTCTAGAACTCTGCCTACTCATACTCGGCTAGGCCTAATTCTTAGTCTTAGTCTTAGTCTTGGACTCGCTTAAACTTATTGATCACTTAGTCAGTCTTGTCTCTTATAATTATTCCTTATATTTGTAATTTTCTAGGTTATAATTAATAATATTAGTCTTGTCTAGTCTATAGGACAATGTCACTATAGTCAATAGTATTATAATAATTAAAATTAGTATATTAATCATATTATATAATACTACCGGTAGATCATAATAGATGATAACAAAATTAAAACTTTAAATAATAAACCAATGGCATAGTTGAATAGAGCTAATTTTTAAAAGAATTATAACACCAAAATCATATTTTTAGCTGTTGTAGTTTTAAAGTTATGAATTTTTAAAGTACGACTTAATTTGTCCTTTTTTAACATTAACTGTACTATTAACATTAACATGGACTGCATCTCCATTTTCTGGGACCCAATTCCACTGTTCACGTCACGAGCTATATAACTCTTGTTTTAATGATAATTTTATTTTCAGAACTAATGCTGTATTAAAAAATAAGTAAATAATAATTGTAGCTAAATAATTGTAGTAAAATAAATTGTAGCTAATCTAACTATGCACTATTTATATCAGTAAATTTAATTTATTTAATATAATGTATTAATATATGGCTTTTCTGTTTACCAAATCTAAGACGTCCATTATTCCGATATTTGCTACGAAGTGTCTACACGTCCGGCGGTATGTCACGTGACCGCTGGAAGGCTAGTATTATATAATTCCGAACGAAGTACTGTTTGGTAGATCTTGTGTGGTCTAGTGGTAGAGTGGTCGCTTGACGATATTATGATTTGAGGATCAATACCGCTTTTTTTTTACTCCCATTTTAATGTAAAATATTTTATACTATATTTATATTATCATATTCATCAGCAACTGTAGTTTCATGAGAAGTTTTTAAATATTTTGTAACAATTTAAAATGAAATCTTTTACTTTTATTGGTTGCCTACTCCACACTGGCCCCTAATTTATTTTATGGATTACTGGTGCACAAACTCAAATAACAAACTAAACAAAAATGTTTACAAGCCACTTTCACTTAAGTTTTTTTCTATTATTTGCATTCAAGATACTCAGTACATTACTTGGTAGAGAAATAGATTTTAAAATTAACAATAGTTTTAAATCATTCACAGTCCCTTGACAAGGCTGACCGACAAGATATCGCTCATCACTTTGTTACGGCGGTCATGTGACTAGGTCGCCGGACAAATAGTGCGGGAGATATACGTCCGGCGCGCCGAACGTGTAGACACTTCCTATTTGCTATATAGTCTATGTAAGGCAACTCATTCCCTAATTACGAAAATACTGTTTGGGAACTATTGAACTTTCAACTTTGGTACATGACTAATTAATTAAAGCTTTCCCTGACCTAGTTTAATAGTTTTTGCACACAGCAAACTTTTATGAATGAAAACTCTGAGATAGTAGTAAATAATAGCCATTATGCAAGTCACTGTGAATCGTGAATGGCCGCCATGACATTTTGCACACCGCGAATTTTGATCATTTATAATATGGACTCTGTCGGGTTTTTTTAACCTCAAATTAAAATATTATTCTTTCAATACATTTAAATTCATTCTAAAACATAAGTTATAAAATATTTTGATGTAAATAGTGGAAATAATTAAATATATCCTAAGTAACTGCGCCTTCCGCCACTGAAAGGGGGGGCGTGGCCACTTCCTTATCGAAATTGGGCTGAGCTACATTACCATATAAGGGTATAGGGGTTTACTCAAGTGAGCATAACAAGTGACCGACATGTCCTAACTCAATGAGAATTGACACAAATACACATCGATAGCTAATACAGAATAAGACTTTTTTTTAAAGACATAAAAGTTGAACTTCTATATGAATTTTATAGTGAAAGATGCCTTATATTTAAAGGGGAATCTCAAAATACATGTCGATTGAAAAATTGAAACAAATCAACGTAAATGTAGGCCAAGATGTCTACCTAATTATAAGGCCGGTAACGGAAGTACTCATTTAATAATAAATAGACACACACACCGGAAATTTAAAAACTCACATTTTTCGGCGCCGATTTCCATTTCCAATACACAAAAGGTAGTAGCCTCCCTTGGTTTACCGAAGTTTCTACTACCGGTAATAATGATTTATAAATATATAATAATATATACTTGTACCTAACTTCGTCCAAATTTGAAGCCAAATTATTTAATGAAAATTAATGAATTTAATGCCCATAGCCATAGATCATAGAGAAATAATCCAGAGTAATGGAAACAGTAGACTGAGTAATTAGTAGACTAGTATTTACTAATTTAGTAAATTTATGTCCCCAACAGTAAGAGTATGAGTATATAGTGGCTTGGCTTTTGCCAAGAGTAAGAGCTGTCTCACCCCAAGCAAACTGACATAATTTTTTATCAACCATAAAGATGCAGAGCTAAAGATCAAATCTTTTGATTACAAAACTATGGCCGGTAGTTGACCTAAGGATCCTCCAACTCCATGACCTATAAAATATATACAGCGGAAGACATTCCCAGCCTTGCCGCTACCAACATCATAGCCAACTTAGACTCTAGTTAGCTAGTAGTTAGAGGCCCAACCTAAAATGTTCTTTTGTAAAACAGTAACAGTTGAGTTAGCCTTATTGTACAGTTGATTTTTATTATTATTTTATTTATTTTAATTGCAGGCTAGTCAACATGTCAGGGATTGCCCTAGGACGTTTAGGTGAAGAAAGAAAGGCGTGGCGAAAAGATCACCCTTTTGTAAGTTACTTATTAATATACCGATTCTCATTATTATTATTATTATTATTATAATTCACTCGATGTCACCATCATTGGCATCAAAGTCAACATCAATCATTATGCAGGTTAATGCTTAGTGCAGATGGGGGAGATCCTCTAAACTATGGTCATGCATATCATCATTTATTTTCCCTGGTAGAATATTTGAAGTGTTGTAATTTTTATTTTTAAAAAATGAATTTCAATGGTTTTTAAGACAATAGTATTTCTTTTATTTTTTATCCGTTTTATCCATTTAGACCATTATATAAATATATAATAAATTTTACAGAAAATGTCAATTCTTGAGTTTCACTGAAAGATTTAAAACAGATTTTATTTTCATTTCTTAATCTAGCTGGTTCATTTTAAACTTTAATAAACTTATTATATATAAAGCTACAATTTGAATGAAGTCCTCCCATTTTGGTGCAATATATGTTCTACTTCTACTAGTAAATATGAAAAATAGTATTTTCCTTGTTGAAAATTTGATTTTTAATATATATATTTTTACATCCCAGGGTTTTGTTGCAAAGCCTACTAAGAATCCAGATGGAACCTTAAATCTATTAAACTGGGAGTGTAAAATCCCTGGAAAAAAGGGGGTGAGTGAGGATGAAAAATAGTTCAAAAGTCAGTTTTTTGAAAATTTATAATTCCAAGATTGTTGTCTTTCTATCGTTTTATTTATATTTTTTATTATACCATGTGTAATCAAAACCACGAAAAAAAATTTCTTATAATTTTTTTTACTGCATAACCCAGAAGTTACTTTGAATTTGAAAACTTGGCATAAGCATTGATCATTGTTTAAATTTATCCCTCATGGAAGGAGTTGTTCTGATCATAATCGGCATACTGTTTTTTACAAATGAAATATCTAAAAAGTTTCTTTTTTGCATACTGAAACTTTCTACACTGTTTCACTTGGGGCATGTTAGGTTACTTGCATATCAGTCAATATCAAATCACAGTTCAGACACTTATGAAATGTTGTGATAGCTTGAACATATATATATATATTTAAAATCTGCATTCTAAAGTTTGTTAAAAACCAAAAACTGTGACATGTTTCTGTGTTGCACATTCATTTCAATACATTTTATTCTCTTTGTTACAAATTACCAGACTCCATGGGAAGGAGGGTTGTATATGCTTAGAATGCTTTTCAAAGATGACTATCCAAGCTCACCACCAAAATGTAAGTAGATAGACAGATAACCCAACTAATATTTTAAATATTTTATTAAGAAGTTAATACATATTTTTAAGGCTGCGACTATTAATACAAGTGTTCCAGAAGTGAGAGGTTGGGATTAAAAAACTATTTAAAATATTATTATTGGGTTTGTAAGACAAAATGAGGTATCAAATGAAAGATAATTGAATGGACTATATGTTTGTAAACTTAATTCTTCAGTTTAACTAAAATAAACTTCCACAAATGACATCTGAATAGCATTTAGTCAAAATGCATTGCCGCCATTCGCACCGGGTCCCATTACACTCAATGCTATTCGAATGTCATTTGTGGTAGTTTATTTTAGTTAAACTGAAGAAGTAACAATGGTCAGCACAAAATTTTGGGAAGGAAGAATAACCAAAGATAATTTTCTTATAAAAAGCATTGGATGTTTGAAAATTTTTTAAAATGTATGTGGATCATTTCAGGCAAATTTGAACCACCTTTGTTCCACCCAAATGTCTACCCATCTGGCACCGTGTGCCTCTCCTTACTTGATGAAGAAAAAGATTGGCGTCCAGCAGTCACAATAAAACAGGTATTAATTTTTCTGCTCCTAGCAAATCATGCATGTGTGACCAACCTTAAAATGTATGTTAACTTGAAATGTATTTTTTAATCTATGTAATTCATATCGTTCTTGTAAGTACTTTTACTTACCATTAAGTTATGTGAAGTTTTTGTTGTTACTTTAGGATTGAGACCAGTTTGTGGGGTGGGGAGGGGTTTTTATTGTAAAGGCAAAGCTTTAAAAAAATAACTTAAAAACATTGGTTTACGATTAGCCATAATGCCAAAGTTACAATTAGAGTTAGATTGTAATTAATCAGCCTCTGAAACAGTTTTTTTTTAAAAATGTGTTTATGTTTTACACTTAAGTTAGCAGTCAGATGATGTACATAGGTGAGCTAGTTATTTTTGCTCATTAAATAGAAAAATTTTTTTTTTACATGCATAACTTTTTAATTTGTTTAAAACAGCAGAAGATTTGGTGTCATATTCAGTGTTAACAAATTTTGTGTGAATCAATTGAACCCTTATAACTTATAATAAAATTGCACTGCTCAGTTTCTTCATAAGTAAATTGTAAATTACTATGACTATGATAAATACAAATCTATGTTGACATCTCAAATTAACAAATTTCTTTCACATTTACTGCTTTTAGAAATGCTCATCCCCCTCCCCCCATTATTTTGAGATAAATCTCAATTAACTCTGAAAGTAAATTATATTGAAGTCTTTTCAATAACTCATGATCTATGGAATATATAATCCCCACCCTGTTTGGCGTGACTAAGTTTTTTTATCATGAATCTATAATTTCATGGATAAATTAGTTAAAAACACTGAATTTTGATTTTGTTATTTAAAAATTTCTTAGTTCTGGCATGCTTTATAAATGTACACAACCATTGGAGCTGCAATATTAGTTCAACTAAGCCAACATAGTTTTAAAACTGGACATTTAAAGTAATGAATAATGATTTCTATCAGTCATTGGACTACTAATCCACAAGCCCCAATTGTGTGAACTGTTACTGGATAAAAGAAATTTATTCACTGGATTTTAGATTTTATAAATTGGTTCAATGTAGGCCAATATACAGGCCTATACAATTAAGTTTCTGAAAGAAAAACTGAGGTGACTACTGATAAGCAATTACAGTTTCATTTCTTTTGGACCCCATGAAAAGGACTTGTATGCTAAGATGATACATGTAACAACCATTTAAAGTAATAAAGAGAAACAAGAGAGGATAGGATATGCTTATTTCATAAACGCAGCTTATAAACATTATGGACCCAAATAGCTGTGAATGAATTATCAGTTATTGCAGATTCAACAGCTAATTCAACAGTATAAATGGTTCTGTTGTTTATACAGGTTAATATGCCTAGTTGATTGGCTTGTGATAAATTTAGTTGAAAGATATCAGCTTTTGAATAAATACAAATGATGTGGACAATGTGGTTAGTAGAAGAAAAAAACAGAGGTAGAGAGCCTTATTCTTTCATTTTAATGAAATTTTTAGTTTTAGGGTGAAAACTGTAATAGTCACATTTATTTATTTTATTTATTTAGGCATTTTTATATAGCGCTTACCTTAAAGCTCTAAGCGCTTTACAATTATTAAAAACATGTAAACTAAGTAAAATAAAAATGAGACACTAGGATAGTAACTACTATACTATAGAAACCAATTAAAATGGCTATAAAACGAGGACTTCATTTAACCTGAGGAAAACAAAATGCATTTCTTGAATAATTAAAGATCTGGTAGCTTCAGTCGTTTTGATTCAACAGTAGATTTAATCAGGCGATGACAAATTTGTTGACATGGCTCATGTTTCAGCCTCAGCAATGTGAGTGATTATAACTTAGCATGCAGTTAAAACTGCAATGGTTTCTTGCAGTAAAGAAATAATGTACGAAAATAGATTTATAAAATAGAAGATTTAGGACTTTTTCTGCTGCCTTTGTTAAATATAAATATAACAGTTTTCTGGCAAAAAAAAAATAGTCATATTTCATAATCTATGGTTTATTTGTACCCAATATTTAAAAAAAAAATATGTTAAATTATTTTTCTCCAATTATATTGATATCTGATAATAATAGTATTTATCTCAGTAAAAACTTGCCTTGTTTTATTTAATTTGTTAAAGATAAATGATGCAAATTATAAAATTTCACTAATTAAAAAAATGAATGCAAATTAAAAGTACCATTAGTTAATACTAATTTTGGTAAAATTACTTATATGTGTTGTAAAAATTTCCTTAAAATTAAGTGAACAAAAAAATACAAAGAGAAACCAAGAATATTTGAGAGTTAATACATATACTGATTTTTGGCAATTGAAACTATTTTAATTTTGTATTATTATTTTTGTGTAGATTCTCCTTGGTATACAGGAGCTATTGAATGAACCTAATATAAAGGATCCTGCACAAGCTGAAGCATATACAATCTACTGGTGAGTTGTCAATGAAGACAATTATAATTATGTTTTCTTTCACTTACCCATTGGATCTGGATGTGATTTAGTGAAGATGTATTACATAGCAGGTTACAGCAGATATTTTATATTGTGTACTATTGCTTTTTTTAAAACTTATTTATGCCTTTTACCCCACCTGAGGCATAGGCCACCTACAAGAATTTTTCATTCATCTTGGCTCTTATCTTATATTTTGTATGTCTTTAGTTTGCTAGATTCAGCTTCTTTGATTCTCATATTTTCTTTAACAGTACAAATGCTGACCTCAGTCTTTTTCCCATTCTAACCCTGACATCTGCTTCTAATCCACCATTTAATGTCAATGGTGTTGCCCAAGTATGTGAAGACCTCCACATCTCTCCTATTCTAGCCCTGACATCTGCTTCTAAACCACCATTTAATGTCAATTGTGCTGCCCAAGTAGATGAAGGCCTCCACCTTCCAATGCATTTCCTGAATAAGTTCATGGTTAGCTGAGTTTATCTTCATGATCTTTGTCTTGCTTCTACTTATGTTGAGTAAAAGCAGTGATGAAATAGTGGCTACATCTCATATTTTTTGCATTTGTTGCTGGTTGTGGGGCAGAAATGCAATGTCATCTGGAAATTCTAGGTCATTCAGTTGTTCTCAGGGTGTCCACTTTATCCCGTTCCACTTTTTGTCTGAGGATTTTTTCATTATACCATCATTGGTAGGAATGAATTGTATGGAGACATCCTTGTCTGACTCCTTTTTCAGCTGTAAAGCCATCTATAACTAAAAGTCTACCACTCTGCATATCATTTATTGTTTCAGAGCTTTATTTTAAGATGTAACTTTCATTTAAAAAGTGGGACTGAAGTTTATTTATAAATTAATATTTGGACACACCTGTTAAAAATGCCTTTGTTAACATTTGGAACTTCTAGTATTATTTTTTTTTCTATTTCCATACCATTAGTCAAAACAGAGCTGAATATGAGAGGAGGGTCAGGGAACAGGCTTCAAGGTACAGAGATCCTACTTACAAATAAGCTCCCATCTCAGACACTTCTCTTCAGACTAGGTAGAGATTCCAGGTGGCTGGTTATTTTGTAAGAAGCTTCAGAATAAAATGGACTAAAACAACTTAGAGCAATATATTTAGCAATTAAGTGAAATAATGTACTAGTCAGCTACTGGAATCACACACTCTTGACATTGACAGCTAAAATTAATTGTTCTGTAAATTATCTTCTTTTTAAAAAAAACATATTTGCAATCATAATAGCATCTGTGCTGGACTATACTGTACCTTATCATGTATAAAGGTTTATGTTATTTCTGTCACACGAAATATAAATTGATCTGTGTATTTTATATGGATCTAATTTTCAATTTTATTAAAATAATGTTGTCAAATTTTGATGGTGTTGTATTCTTTTAAATTACCATTTATGCTTATAAAACGAACATGACTCATATTACAGACTCTTAAATACAAATAAATATCATTATTTTCAATACAGACTAATGAAGTCTTTTTAAACTGAGCAATAAATCAGCAAATGCTGTCTTAAAATGAATTGTGGCATGGGGAACACTGCTGATTAGTTTAGTTATTTTTGGAATCTAGCATAAAGTTGCAAAATTGATCAGCTGATGGGGATTTTAATTTGAGTGATCTTTGTTTATATAACATTAATCAGTCCCTAATATACTTCTTCTACTATTTGTAAGGTAACTGCTGATAACTCAACTCGGTTTTGTTTACTATTGATACATTCCAAAACATGATACTTTATTTTCACCTTCAACTCTTTCCACATGAATGCATTCATCATTGTGTGTATTGACATATTTACTTTCTATGACATAATTACTCTAATCCTATTTTGAAACGTCAGATACCCCTACCTTAATTTTAAATACAGGAGCACACCCTGCCTTCAACCTAGAACCTGATTTCAAAGGTCACTCAAATTTCCTCACTACCCGTCTTTTGTGAAAAATGGTGCAATAAATTAAATAACAAAATATCCAAGTTTTCTCCACTGATAAATTTGTTGGCTAACTACATCCTACATCCACTATTTGGTTAGTTGCTATCTATTACGTTAATTAGGTTACCGTAGCAATTTAAATTTCTGAAACTACCTTCCAAGAGAAAAAAACAACACCTTTACATGTAAATGTAATAAGTTAATGGCTAGAAAATATGATCAAGGTTATGAGGTTGAGTTCACTTTTTAAAGAAATTAGAAAGGAATAATTTAATAATAATAACTTTATGTCACATTGTTCTGAGCAAAAAATAGTCTGACCATTCTGTTCATCATCAATACTGTTAGTTGTTAGTCTCATATAAAGATCTTAATTTATCAGAAATCATCACATAGAAGAATTACTGTTATAAAAATATTATGCTTTAACAGTAATAACTTCCAAGAACGTGACATTTAAAATTTTATGGAAATAATCCTATTGTGTTTGAACACTACCAGCGGAAGTGGGTGGAACAAAAGTAATTGATTATCCACACATCTATGCAGTAAAAATTGATTACCATGTCAACAACTTGACTATTGGTTTTGATTAGTTGATTAGCAAAACATGAATTTTTGGGGGATTGACTCCAGTAAGTGAGTTAGCAAACACCTTCTCAATGTCCAGCAAAATAAACAATGCCTTGTCTTGTCCTACTTTAAGTACCCACAAAGGCATATCTAATGATCATTAACAGCTAAGCTATCTTCTATATATATGCCAGCCAGAAGTTGCTGGGTAAATCAAATGTCATCCTTTTTATTAACTTAATTAACCACCATATCCTGTTTATATCCAATCAAGCTTTCAAATAGCATGTAAAAACAAGTTTAACCTCTACATATTCCTAAGGGTTGAGCTAGTGGCTCTTTATGACTCCGGCTCATTTGCTGGCCATGCAATAATTGTATTAATATATTTTTCCCTTGTAAAATTTATATCAATAGAGAATCGCTGTTCCATCAATTCACAGGAATAGATATTCATTATTAATGATTTGGCAAACATTGAACTAGGCCAAAATAAACTCTTGTGAAGATGCCAAAATAATTATAAATTATATTTATTGCATTGTTTCTATATGCTATTGACATATTTAAAGCTCTTAAAATGAAATAGTACACAAGGTAATCAAGAAAAACTTTATCTCTAAGTAGATGACTTCAAGTAAAGGAAAAAAAACAGGTGTATCTGTGATATATTTATTTTTAAATGGGGAACAAATATGTGAAAATTAGATCAATACAAATTAAATTATATCAAGACTAGTTCACAAATTTAATACATACTGTACAATAATTTTAAACAGCAATATTAATTATTCTCATTGACATTAAGTACAGTAGTTCTTGGGGAAATTATATTTATATTCTGTTCCTGGTGTTTAACATCTGGTGATTTCCCCTCATCAGGGGCATATTGTGTTAATGGTATCTCCATATTTTCTGGTGAGATTCTCTCCTCTTGCTCAGGAGAAATTTCCTCTGGTGTGGTACCAGTGCCAGTTAATTCCTCTTGTTGAAAAGTGGCAGTGATGCCCCCTTTCCCCGCTGCTAACAATATATCTTTTATCCTCTCCATGCTGCACCCTCCATCTCCTGATTCCAAAGAACCCTGTTGGTCACGCACTAAGTCAACAATAGATTTATCTGCCACTATGATTAGAGATTCTCCTGTACTAGAGTCAAAAATTTCAAGTCTTTCTGTATCCTGAGACTGGAAAGAAGAGAGCCAAAAATACAATGTTTTTAAAAAAAATTACCAATAATCAAGATCTTGTTTCTTTGCAAATGTTGAGTGTTTATTTTATATTTATAGTTTCATTATTTTATATGATTCTACTCTTCCATATGTTAAACTTTGGTGTTGTTGAACAATTTCACTCAGTTCAGCTGTTCATTTCTTTAGGTTCAGTTTCAAGGTTTATTATTTTAAAATTGATTTTAACATGCGTTAATTTTAATTACAAAAAAAAATAAAAAAAATAAAAAAGAGAGAGAGAGAGCATTGGGATTCTGAGGATGGTACCTAAACAAATATTCAGTTCCTAAAAATCACAATTAGAAATTAAGTTATATATTGTAGTTGCTGATTTTTAAAGGAAAAATTACCCAGACTGTACATGTCAAATGCAAATTCATTGTCAGAGGTCTAGTCCTAAGCATTAAAATAAATCAACAGAATATCAATGGCCAATCATCACAGATACAAAATCTAGATGAATCTTATGATTGCTTTACTTCAATTTATGTCTATTCACCAACTGACCTGATCAACAAAATTTCCATCCACCGTTGCAGCCCTCTCTTCTGTGATCACTTCAAAGCTGTCCCCAGCATCCTCCATTTCTTCCACAGTTTGAAGAATAACATAATCCCCTGACATCTGTAGGGCAGTTACAAAACATGTTACATAACAATGCAAACCAATTTGGACAGTGACAAAAACATGTTACATAACAATGCAAACAAATTTGGACGTGACAAAACATGTTACATAACAATGCAAACAAATTTGGACAGTGACAAAACATGTTACATCACAATGCAAACAAATTTGGACGTGACAAAACATGTTACATAACAATGCAAACAAATTTGGACAGTGACAAAACATGTTACATCACAATGCAAACAAATTTGGACAGTGACAAAACATGTTCCATAACAATGCAAACAAATTTGGACAGTGACAAAACATGTTACATAGCAATGCAAACCAATTTGGAGGTTTATTATATTTTATGCCTTAAACTTAAAAGTTACACAAAGTCCATTTTTTAAAATTCAATTATTAGTTAATTGGCCATTAGCATAAAGTATCTTATTTTCCCTCACTCAGAATTAAATGCTCCATATAGATATAGTGATTATGCTTTAAAACACCGGTCACCAACCTTTCGGTACTCCCAGAACAGTAAATTCATAATTTTAAATCCTGTGGACCCCTTATATGATTTAAAAAAAAAAAAAAAGTCTTATAAAAATAATGATCAGAGAACTTCCATATTATTAATATGAAGTACACCCATTTCATTAAAAAAATTATAAAAGTTATTCAATGATGCTTAAATTGCTATCCTCAATGTTTTCTGCCAATTGGTCTATTATCCACATATTGCCATTTCCAAGTTCTGTTGAACATTGGTTACTTATCAGCCGGTTAATAACTTTAATGATGCAGTGAACGACAAAAGATGCATGAAAATTAAATAAGTTGATTTTGAACACACAAAAAATATATATTTTTTGCATTGAATTTACTGTGCCAAAATTAGAGATTAACTCAGAATTAGAAACTTTAAAAAATGGGATTCAGAATATAAGAATTTTTCTGCGGACCAACAAAACTTTCTCATGGACCACCATTGCTCTGCATACCACTGGTTGGCAACCGCTGCTCTAAAAGGAGCATAGAAATGCAATGTTTTTCAAAATTTAAAAAAAATTTAAATCTTAGGCTCTAGTCAGTGAATTATAATGTGAGTCACACTGGCTTTGTAAACAAAATAAATAAGAGACATAAATATTGCATGCCATTTAAAAGGTACATACATTAAAATTAAGCATATTTTCTGTTTAAATAACAATTGAAATACTATTATTTTTTTAAATGTTACCAAAATCAATGTTTGACATGCTAACTGAAGCTGTATCAAGAAAGCATTCTTACCTCCTGGTCCCTATTAGAAGATAAGATGAATTGTTGACTTGGCTCTGCCTCTGGCAGAATGTAGTGCTGAGTGTCTGCCACCATGGTAGAAAACTGGGCCAGCATTGTTGTATTGGGGGTAGTGTTGCTGGAGTCTAGACTGGTAGCTTCCCGGGTTGTAGCGCAGGGCACTGTTAAAATTAGGACAGAAATAAAAAAAAAACTGTTCTGAGGGACCAACAACACTTTTAAGTTACACAGTGACAATAAAATTTCATTGCATTAATTAATGGTAGGGTATGTTCTAGACAACTCTGTAATTAAGTGCTGATGTTTGTGTGAGGCATTGCTCACTAAATTATTTAAAACCACTGTTATAATTAAATGGTTAACAAATAAATAGAAGGAATGGAGATTTAAGATACTTTTATAATGAACCTGTCCAATGTAGTAGTTAGGGTTGATGCCACCCGGGACGGACCAAGCTTTTTGCACCCCTTTCTTAAAAAACTCTTTGCAGGTGGCCAAAAATTCTGCCACTTCACATGAAGAAGCAAGTGCCACCTGTGATGTAGCTGCCCCCCACCCCCCTCCACAACCACTACATTGTCCAACCTGCACCTTGAAGTCATCACTCGTTATCAATACTCACTCTTAGCTCTGAGATGCCTTGACAACGTTCCCTGCTCTGCAAATGCCCTGTTGCACAAGTTACACTTGTACGGTTTTTCTCCCGTGTGCAGTCTCATATGTCGCTGCAGTGACCCACGTTCTCGAAAATGGTGGTTACAAACATGACATTTGTATGGATTTACTCCAGTGTGTGTTCTGAGATGTACTTTAAGGGAGCTCTGAAATTTGATGAGTTCACATTGATGAAATACTAAATGAATTTTTACACTACCTTAATATCTAAGGAGTCTGTTGATAACATTGGTTCAATTAAACATTCCGACAACTCGTACGACGCCCCTGGTGCCAAGCTGTATCATCCCAATGATGTTCCCTTGGGTTATCCAGCAGCATGGAGAGGCGATTTGCTATTGAGAACCAGCTTATAATCCTTGAAGAATAATCCCAGGCCTTGCGGATTTCCATACCATCGTCACATTGTGACGGACGGATGCCAGCAATATCTAAGTTTTTATTTTTTCCCCCACCAATAAAAAGACTTCACTGAAATTTTCTGAAATACAACACTAAAATATGATAGAGGTTACCTCAAATTTTAAGTGTTCTTGTTTTCCCACCAATAAAAGAGAATAACTTCATTTAAAACAGCTATTGTTTTTTTTTTTGTCCATAGTTAAAAAAGGAAACTTAGAAATTTCCCGATGGTATATTTAAATTAGAACATTTTTTGTTTGGCCTTGCAATTTTGTGATGACGTTCTTTATTTTATTTACTGCAAATAAAAATCAATGTGCTACAACATTTTCAATTTTCATCTACTCAGAACGGTGGCGTAAAAACAGAGGGGTAGAGTTAAAAGTTAGTCTTAGGCACAGTTAACAGCTATTCAGCGTTAAAGGTTGCAACATCAACACACCTGAGTTTTAAACAGTTTATCACAGATGGAACAACGGAATGGTCGGTCCTGTGAGTGAATTCTTAGATGCTGCTGGACATGGGAAAGACTCTTGAACAGTTTTCCACATTCCCCACATTTAAAGTCTCTGCGATCTTTGTGAACATACATGTGTTTTTTTAATATATCACGAGATGTAAAGCTGCGATGACAGTGTTGACACTGGTGGGGACGTTCACCTGTAGCAATATAGCAATACACTATTTATAAACATTCAAATTTGATTGTGTTCACCTGTAGCAATATAGCAATACACTATTTATAAACATTCAAATTTGATTGTGTCACATTATGAACTTTTAAGTTATATAATTATGTAAAAGGCATTAACAATTTTAACCAAAACAATGCTGCAGAGCCATAAATAAAAGCTAATGCTTTAAAGCAGCATTTCCCAAACTTTAAAGTTTCACAGACCGGTGGACAAGTTTCGAAACTGCACCAGGGACCGGTGCCAGATTTATTAAGTACATTTCTTTCTATTTAAAAAGTGTTGGACTGCAATAAAGCTTTAAAATAGATTAATAAGACACGAAAAAATTGTGTCAATATAACAATATAAGTTACGCTTTAATAATAATTATAAATTATACACAAGTAAACGTTTCGGCACATGCCTTCATCAGTACAAACAAAAAAACATTTAAATAAGTATAAATTAAATTTACATAATATAAATATACATATCCTACCTAAAAAAGAAAAAAATAGGAGAGGGCGCTAAAACCAGAAAAAAACAAAGTAAAGAGGTGTAGAAAGGAAGTGATTTGAACATAATTGTAAAAACCAAACAGGAAAAAGACATGGCAGCTAGGTGAAATTGTGGATTTGGTTCATTCCATATAGAGACAATGTACCAAATCTTGTTATTAATTTGTTCTCCATATAGATTCTATCTGTAGTATTACTAGTATAAAGTATACAAGTAACTGCTATGTCTGAGATACCATCATGGTTAGGGCTATTGAAATGTTTGGATGACCGGACAGAGAGCTTGTTTATTTATGTTATATAGGTGTTCTCTGAACCAGTCCCCAAGGCGACGACCTGTCTCTCCTATGTATAATTTACCGCACTTTTTCTATTTAAACATCAATATTCATGCTCTCTGGACCAGTAACGTAAGGCTTACGGACCGGTGCCGGTCCACGGACCACCGTTTGGGGACCACTGCTTTTAAGTACTCAAAAAGGTATAAATTATTAAAATGAAGCATTATAATTTTGGTATAGTTAGTTAATAATACAAGAAAATGAAGAGCTAATTTAGAGGGAAAAAAAACACGGATTCTCTTCAACTCAGGTGAATTCAGATTACATTACAAAAAACTAAAGTTTCATCTGAGATTTTCAATCTTACCTGTGTGTGTCCTCATATGCTGGCGCAAATAGCTACTACCCCGGAAGTATCGGTTACAAACCATGCACTGAAGAGTTCCTGTGGCAGATGGCCCAGGTTTTTCTGTTTCAACAGAAGCTTTGTTTTTCTTTATACTATAGAGCTGTTTCACAGCAGTCAAGGCATTTCTGTTTATGATAAGACAATCTATTATTATGATAAGTCAATCTATTATTATGATAAGACAATCTATTATTATGATAAGTCAATCTATTATTATGATAAGACAATCTATTATTATGATAAGACAATCTATTTAGAAAATGTTTCAAATGTCAAAGAAATGTAAAAAAAAAATTTTTTAAAGAATTTTTATTCTTTTAAAATTCATCACTGTCTGCTGATGAAAGTGAATAATCATCACAATATTAAAATAATTTCCAAAACCTTCAAAGTATGTGCCAAACCCTTAAGAAGTAAAAAATTTTGAAATCTATAATTTTTTAAAATTTGAGTGCACCTGATCTAAATCTTTATTAAATTATCAGACTTACCGCAACACTGTTTTCCTATCTTGCATAGTTTCCCCCTTTTTTAAATTCATGTCTTCCTCCATAGACAAGACACTAGCCTCAATATCCTGTAAAAAAAAAATGGTTCTCTCCCCTATAAATTTACATTGACACAGTTCAAATATTTTTTGTCTTTAAAATGAGGAAATATCTAGTTTCTCATTCACCCTGCTTCCAATATTAATCTTTAAACTTTAAAACTTTAGATACACAAATCTCCATGACATTATTTTATAAATACAGGGAGAGCACATATAAATATGGAGAAAATGCACATGTGCACCCTCTAAAAATTAGACAGATTATTGGAAAAAAACATTTATAAAAAGTAATATACTTGATTTTTTAAAGTTTGTTCATATTTAAATTTATTTTATGGTAAAATCAAAAAGTTTAACAATAACTTACATTTAAAGAATCCTGATGCATGTATAAAATATGTTGCCGCAATTCTTCACGACCATTTGACAAAAAGTGACATAATCCACATCGTGATGGCTGATCCGCCAAGTGGCTCCGCAAGTGAATTTCCAAACCTTCAACAGCCACAAAATCTTTTTTGCAAACCTGAGAACAAACAAAACAATTAGCAGTGCTAAATACATATAATGCCAGGCACACATTTAACTAATACATTTTCTTTTTTCAAAAAAATGTAATAAATATTTTACCCAGACCTTCTCAACCTAAATTTGCTGACGAGATAAGAAAACAAAACATGAAATCTCACATGACACTGTGTAGATTTAAGAAGCTCCACTTCTGCACTGCTTTTCATCAAAATCACGTCAGTATCCATTTCTTCTGGATTTTCCACTTCAGCATTATCTTCTGATCTTAACCTAGTGGATAGTTCATCAGGCTGATTTGATCTGCCTGTCATATTCTGCTGAGAGTCTGGTCTAGTTGTTAAATCCTTCTGCAGATCTGATACAATAATGACATTCTCATGTGCCACAGGTTCACCTGGCAACTCCTGATAACTGGCTATACTTGCTTCAACAACTATTGCAGCACTTTCCGTATCTGTAGCTGTCTCCACACTGGCAAATTCTTCCTCTGCAGGACCTGTGACCCAAATCTGTTGTCATTTGAAAAAAACAAACATTGAAAAGGTAATTTTTCAAGATTAGTGAAGACATAGGAGCGCCAAGTTAATCAAATGTAAATCCAAACAAATGTATTGCTTTCTCATACATACCTCAAGTCCTTTTTCTTTATGATCCAATTTTGTCTCAGTTCCTAACTCCCTTTCAGGTATCAAGATATCTCCAGTGACAACCTGTGGTGCAATCCCTTGGACACGCTGGGGGACCACCTCAGCATCAATAACATCAGGCTCTGATGATTCTGTTATTATGTAGTGAATTTCACCACCTTCATCAGATGCGCTGGTCTCATTGTTAGTAACTATGATAGGGAGGGTGCTGCGACCTCTCTGAGCATCACGCTGGTTGGGGTCAATGACAGCAGGAATGTTGGGGTGGTAGGTCCAGTTTTTCTTATATCTAGGATAGCCTGAATCTGGTGTCTGTGAACAGTTACGGCTGGACAGGAAGATATGAGTGTATATTTTTTTTTTTTAAATTGTATTTCAGTATTATGTTAATTGTTATACAGAAATAACTGAATTACCAGGGACCAATGGTTATTATCAGAACCGTTATTACTGCACTATTTTAATGAAGCTAAATCTTAAAAATTGTTGAGCAAGAAGTAAATGTGACATTGGCTTTTGATTTTACTTACCGTGCTTTCATATGTCGAGACAGTGCCCCCGATTCTGAAAATGCCCTACCACATTTTTCACAGGCAAATGGTCTCTCTCCTAAAAAAAAAACCAACAACAAATTAATTATTTTTAAAAAGAAATTTTCTTAAAAATAGATAAAACATAAAATTAATAAATATCTGTTATAAAGTTTAAAATAAATTTTAAAAATAAATACTACATTTTTTTTAACCTGTATGTCTTCTCATATGGCGAACAAGACCTCCTTTGGTTTTGAATCCATAAGGACAGTTCTCAGTTTCACATACAAATTTTCTCTCGTCAGAGTGAACAACGCTATGAGCTTTGAGGACTGTCAGCTGTAATATTTAAAGGAATATTTTCAAGTTGTTCTTAGAAAACATATAATTTGACTCTTCAAGTAAGTTCAAGACCCTCCAACTATTTACGTTAATTTTTTGGCTTATTACAAGAAAATATTGGAAACAACTGGAAAATTAAAAAGACCGTTTCCAGTTTTCACTAAAACCTTGAATAGGTTTTAAATTCTTTTTGTCCCTGTGCCCAATCCCACTCTTCATATTTTAGCCAGCGAACATAAAACCCCATGACCTATCCTTACTTCTTTAAAGCATCTGCCGCATATTTCACAGGAGTAGGGTCTGTCTGGCATTTCTTTTTTAACAATATCTAAGGGAATATCAGTGTCCTTCTCAACTTCTTCTATTTTCTCTTGCTTCTGTAATCTATTTTTTACCAGATGGTTGTGTTCTGTTTGTGGTTGTTCTATAACAATACAAATTTCTTGCTGGGTTTTCAGTTCAGGAACTCCTGTTTGTTCCTCATCTTTTCCCTGCTGTAAGTTTTCCACCTTAAACTCCTCATCATTATCATCAAGTTCTTCTTTCACTATATCCTCTTCAGAACTATCAGAATCTTCACTGTTGTTTGTATCCTTATGATCATAAGTCATATGCCAGCGCAAGGTCGCCTCCCTGTAAGGACAATTGGATTCCAAAATAAAGCAAGTCATGACAGTCATTTGTGTTGTGGCCAATTGTTGCTTTTGATATTGTCTTCATTGGTCGGTTTACTTCTTGATGAGATTTATCAATTTAACAACTTTGGCTGACTTTTCAAATATTTGTGTGATTGATCTTGCAACAAATGCCAATGAAAAGTTCAGCTAAGTGGTGTGTTTTAGAAGAATAAATGGAAAGCAAATGGAGCAGTTAAATCAATCTAGATAAGGATAAGTTAATTTTTAGAAATTTTAAATTACAGATTGAAAAATTTAATTTAGCACTTGATGCTTAAAAATAATGAGCATAAATTATAAATAGGACAGACACTTACCGCCTAAACTTTCTGTCACATTTGTTGCAGATATATGTATTTTCTTGAGGTATTGATTGGGCAACTGACAGTATTTGGATTCCAGATGTAGCAGACTTTTTTTTCCTCCCTGTTAATTAGTCAAAACATTTAGGAGGTAAAATAAATATTAGTATTCATATATGTTGCCTTATATAACATCTTACCATTAAATTACTTATTAAAAATTAGATTTGTATTTTAAGTAACATTAAAAAAGATTGGAACAATATCAAGCAACTTATATTTGAAATATGCAAATACACTGCAATGATGGAGTTTTATCAACCTTTTTACATTTTAAACTATTTTTTTAAAGAAAACCCACAAAATAAAAGAGGTGTAGTCCTAAAAGTTGTATTCGAGTTAAAAATATTAATTTCTATTCAAAACAATTTAAGAAACACATTTTCAGGTGCATAAGAAAAAAAAGCAGCCAAAATTGTTAAGTTAAAATTTGTCTATGTACAAAATTTGCCCCACTGATACACATCAAGGTCTATCATTCTAAATATCTTACAAGAATGGAATCCCTTTTTGATATATCATAAATGAATATAGCTGTAATTACAGGAGCTGTGTCTGTACTATTCTGGTTCAATGAATTCTGTCAAAAATTACTGGCGTAAAGTTTATTTTACTTTTTCATTTAGATACCATCTAGGAACTATAATTGCCATAATTTCTCAATTAATTGAGGTATGCAAGAGACATGTGTGTAGGGATTCCATTAGACATAATAAAATAACAAGGGTTCAAACATTTATTCTATCATATGGTTAGGCAGGATAAAGAAAACCTGTACATTTTATTTTAAATGTTTTAAAAATTGTACCTTTTTAAATCTAAGCATTGCAAGCAATGAAGACTTAATGAATAAACTTTATGAAATGTAATACTTTGAGTGTAAGTATAGTTTAAACAAGATGTAAGTCAGCAACTTATTCATCTTGAAGGTAATTTAAGTAGTAGTAACAGCCTCACCTCTTTTTTTGGGAACCTTTTCCTCTTTAGCCTCTTGTTTGATTTCAATATTTTCTAGTTTTGGCTCTTGTGGAGACTTCTCACAACTATTAATAGCTATCTGAACTTGTGATAATTTTTTACTTTGAGAATTTTCAATGGAATCAACAATTTTTCCCTCCTCAGATTTTGTTGAAATCTTTGATTGCCTTTTGCGTTTCTGTACCAGTTGTGGTATGAGCATTCGCCTATCAGCCTTGGAGCGCATTTGGGCAATACGGTAGTTTTCATCTTTGATTTTATGCTCCAAATATTGTGGCAGATTTTTGAAGATTTTATTACACTTTCTACAGAAAAAGAAATCATCATCTCCCACTAGATCTGTCAGCAGTGTTTGATCTGCAGCTAATAAAAAAATATAATAAATCATTGATTTCAATTAATGAGTAACTATGTAATCTTAATTACTCTAATAATTACTTAGATATACATAAGTTATTTAGAATTTAGTCTTAAAAAAATTGAGACTAATGACTTTATCCATTAAAAAGCATATAACTTGTTACACTACTTGGTTTAATAGCTTTAACAGACATCATACACAAACATCATACGAGGTGGATTTGTCATTGTGGTCATATCAAGACAAAAACTATTAACAGTACTCAAATCTCAACAGCTCAGAAAAAATGTTTATTTTTATTTTTTAACGCTAAAGGTAAGTCATTGTGTGAAAACAATATCACAGAACAAAAAAAAAACATCAGAGAGAAAGAGGGTTATTTGAGTCTGCCTGCTGCCAGCGGAATAAACCATTAGAATAAATCAGACACTGACTTTTTTTTAGTGCTTGAAAGTTTTCGGATCTCAGTGTTAGGTCCTTGGGTGTTATGGTCATGATTACAGCTATTGCTGATGGATTGTAGCTGACAAAAAAAGTTGTCATCGATGATGAAAAAGAAATGCTTCAAGAGCGGTTCTCCTTGGCAGCCATTTTGTTCCGCTACTAGCTAACCAGCAACTACAGGGCTACTATTTGCCTCCGGGATAGTGAAACAGTGGGGGTCATAGGAAAGGAAAATTAGGGGCCATCTCATAGTGGTGTCCACCCCTTTATGAGAAAGCTATCTCCTGTGGGTCCTCACCAGCAATGGAGTGCCCCAAAGCTGCCTTCCTTCCCTTTTCTGTTGGGAGGATGCGCCAAATGGGATTGTTGGTGAGTTCATGAAGAGCCTTAGGGATTGGGGCACCGATTTTATTACGGTACATTTGTTGATTAAATTAGATAGCACATTATGCCTAATATCTAATATCTAGCAAAATATATTCTAAAATAATAGTAATAGGGTTATTAGCCAATTAATAGGCACAAGGAGGCCAAATAAGGTATGATTACAAATAAATTGGCAAAATAGATGATTTTCTAGTAAGTAATACACCATTATAGGACACTGCAACTGGGGTTATTACTTCCTAGTCCCCCAAAGTTATCGTTCTTTACTGAAAAGTAAAAAGATGGCTAAGCACATAGTTTTCTGAGACCCGGCGAGTAGATTAATAAAATTTCTATACTTTCAGCTGGACACGATCTGTAATGTGGAAATTTTTTATAATAATATCACTATTCGTTTTAAAAAAATGAAGTATTTAAATATACCAATATGTCAGGTAGAGTAGCTTTTCTTAAAATTTTGTATAAATGTGGAGGCTAATTGTTTTAATGGGAAGTAAAAATAATAAAGAGAAAAATCAAGTGATTGACAATACTTGTGGAAAATAAAATAAAAGCAGACAGCGTCTATTGTGACATATGTTTGTACTTGTCAAGTTACTGTTTCTGCTTAACTGGCAAAAAATATTAACAGGGGCAAAAACCTCTGCCTTTTTTTATGCAGTGTCCTATAGCCTGTATGTTGACCTAGTTTTTATTCATCCCAAGCCAAGGCTTTCAACCTTACCTCCCCTCCTCTTTTTTGTTTTGATATTGAGGTCACCGGTTATATCTATAGCGCCAATCCTTGTTACCCACCCTTCCATTGATTGGAACTACTAGCATCAGTATGTCATGAGCAGAATTGGCTAAGATGTACTTAACAGCAAAGTTGGAGATGTCTTCCACAGTTTATATGTCATGGAGGCTCACCAGCTCAACTACCAACCATACTTCCGTATTTCAAATTTTAGCCCTATATTTATTTGATACATTGTTTTCCATTTTTTTTTCTTTTCTTGAAAGTGGGGGAAGAACCCCAGAAAAATATTTTAGAATGCCCTTTGAAAGGGGTAATGATAGAAATGAATAACATTCTACTATCATACAGGTACTTCTTTATCAACCCATCAAACAAACAAACTTTTAGCAAAGTGTGCATCTCTGATGTTCATCTTGAGGTAACATCAAGGATGAGTTTCTTTTTTCAATTTATTTTGAAACTTGTAAGTTGAATTCAAATAAAAGTGAATGGATCATTTCATTCAAAAATTTTAAATATTAATTTAATTTTCTTGATCATCAAATTTAGTTAATGATGCAAATAATGCTCAGTGAATTACTAGAAAATTATCATACTATTTATACACATCGTTAGGTCCAACCATTGGTCTATGCCATGCCCTCTGTCCAGTGTTGGGATTCCCCAACTCTTGGCAAAACCAATATTACCAAATTCACCTTGCCTAAACGAATGAATTGAATATGATTATGAATAGTAAATGCTAGCAGTATTAGTTATAGTTTGTTAGTAATTACTCAACTATCGACTAAGTGTAACTCAGAGTTACTGACTCTTGAGTCAATTAATGTACTATTATTACTAAGTTCAACTGACTAATGGTTTGGTCTAGGCCTAGTAAATTTTATTATTATGATTTACAACATAGGTTACTGTTATGATCATAAAAGTATAAAAGTTGCTTCAACTACATTACTACACTACATAAAAATAAATATAAAATGTATTATTTATTTATCATTACAGTGGACTTATATAGCGCTGTACCCCAGCCTAGAGCTGGGCTCACTGGGATTCACAAAAAAATATTGGTAAAAATAAACATGACATTAGAAAAGTTACATACATTTATTTAATTAAAAAACAGCTATATAATATAAAAAAAAATATTCACCCGCCCACCCCAGAACTATTTAAATGTCAAGCCATCGACGGAACCCAGCAGCATAGTTTATCAGTCAGAGGGCGGTGGGAATCAGTCAGGATAGTACAGTTTGAGGAGATATGTTTTGAATGCAGTTCTGAAGGCCTGGACGGTCAGTATATTACGGATGTGTAGTGGGAGAGAATTCCATTGTTTGTGTGCGCAGAAATAGAAAGATCGTTCACCAAATGTTTTAGTGCAGTTCTAATTGGGAACAGCAAGAATATGCGTGTCTGTACGGTAGAGGAGCAAAGCTGTCGAAGGGGTGAGTAGACAGAAAAAAGTTCGGTTGGAAAGGAAGGCCTGGAATCAGAGAAAAATGTGTGGCTATGATTACTATATTAAATATGATAGTGATAGTATCAATGATAGCATTGTACTCATTGTAATTGTAGTTTGTAGTCATAGAAATAAGTAACAGTACAATAAAAACTACAACTCACTAAGTAACAACCCCACGCAAGTTGTGAATAATCTTAGTAACCTTAAATAAGAGTTTTCTTTAAATCTTTATTAGTTAAAATTAAATAAATTTTTGTTCAGAAACAAAGTTTAAGAGCATTTCAGTGGGCGTTACCTTCGAACTCAGTTACTTCCAATGTATCAACATTGGGGTTGTTGTCGTTCAGGTGCTCAGTCATTTTGGTAATGCAATGGATTGCTATAAATACGTCAGTAACACAGATTACCAACTGCTATCGTAACGTTAATTGGTTTGGAAACATACATTTAATTGGCCTATTCAATACAGTAAATTAAAATGCTAGAGATAAATCATTCTTATAGTTATAAAAATATGTTAAGCATATGGTTATCGTACAATTCATTTAAAAAAGATTACTTAGTTAATGTCGTGATTAAATATTGATATTCCATCATCCTTCCTTTTTTCTTACTCCGTGAAACTGAAGTGCTTATTAATATTTTTAAAGTGCTAACCAATTTCAATATTTCCCATGCCATTTTAGTTTTTTTTATTATGAAGAATATAATTTTATGCCATTTTAAATGGCTTTTAAATTTTTTCATTGACATCTTGAAATCATTTTGTGTTTTGCCTCTTCTAAAAACGCGTGGAAATACTATTGTAAGTCATAGTGTGCGGTCAGATAGCCATAGCATTTTGCGACACCGCCAAATTCCTATGAGCGGTTATTTTCAGTAAACTGGTTACTTTAAAAAATTGCACAAATTAGGAATTTTCGAAGAACAATTATGACTTATTTGTTGATTCACTTGTCAATTTAATTAACAAATGAAAGCGTACATAGTAATTGTTATTGATTATTTTTAACAACATGTATTCATAGATACGTGACTCTAAGGAGATTTTGCTGAGTATATCCGAATAGTGTTTAAATTTCGATTTGGTGCATAATTAAAAGTTTCTCGATTGTACACGAAAAAAACCGTCATTGAGACAGTGGTCAAGATGGCGAACGAAGTTACTCATGCACCAAACAAAACATGGGAATTAAGTCTCTATGAGCTCCATAGAACTCCCCAAGATGCAATAACAGATAATACTGAAATTGCTGTTTCTCCTAGAAGTTTGCACAGTGAACTGATGTGTCCGATTTGCCTTGATATGTTGAAGAATACTATGACAACAAAGGAATGTTTACATCGTTTTTGTCAAGAGTGCATCATAACTGCACTAAGAAGTGGAAACAAAGAGTGCCCGACATGTAGAAAAAAACTCGTATCAAAGCGATCTCTTCGCCCTGATCCGAATTTCGATGCTCTTATCTCCAAAATTTATCCTAGTAGAGATGAATATGAAGCCCACCAAGAAAGACTCATGGCAAAACTAAACAAACATCATAATACTGCTGCCTTGACCACCAGTATTGAAGAAGGTCTGCGTTTGCAAGCATTAAATAGGGCACAACGAGTACGCAAACAAAATTCAGAAAGAAGACAAGATGAAGAGTCGAATGATGGAAATGTATCTGAATCCCAGGGCATGGCAGAAACTGATGAGAATATTTCAAATGATGCTATGCATCCAAAAGCAATTAAACATTTCTCTGATGATTCTAGTGCAGAAAATTCAACAGGAGAGGCTAGTATGTCAGAGCACCTTTCTAGAGGTAGCCCTGAACCAGTAATTCCTCAGCTCGTGAATGAGATTGAACTCATTTTTAAACCACATCCTGAAGATCCTGACCTTGTTGATCCTGCTTCTCAAACTCGTTATATTAAGACAACAGCAAATGCCACAGGTAATATTTTAGTCTGTACTACTTAACTTTTAACATTTTGAACTTATTGTTTTAAATTAAATTAAAATTGTTAAAAATACTTTAATAGTTTAGAAAGGTATTTAAGTAGGTAAAAATGGTATTTAGGGGGAAAGACTGCGATGATCCGATTATCAAAAAATGAAATGAGTAAAACAAAGTATGGGAAAACCTGAAAAAAGGAACACAGTAAAACAACGAACGTGTTGCAGGAAGCCTTCATCAGCAAACAACAGAAAAAACAGAATTATATTAGAAATAGCACTTAGCTTAAAAGTAATATCCGAGGGGGCAGCAAAAGAATTATGACCAAAAATAAGTAGTTGAGAGATTAAATACAGGCAAAAAGGGAAAGAAAAGAGAAGTAAGTCCACTACAATTGGTCATGACTTGGATGGGTGGAGCTAAGGCTTGACATGTGAATGAAACATGATGTTCATGCCATGTGATGTCAACGTTCCATAAGTCTGGATAAGCTTGTTTTCCGAATTCACCTGGCTGAGTGTGTTTGAGCTGGTCACAATCACACTAATTGTTAAATCTGCCATGCCCTTGTGGTTGCTTCTATTGAAGAATTTAGAGACGGGACACAGTTAATTTTGTGAAATATTACAGAGATGTCAGTACATCTGTCACAGAGTCGGCGTCTCGTCTACCCTGAGTACGATATCTGGCAGCAGATGCAAGCAATCGCATAGATAACATTGCGGCTAGTACAAAGGACACCACACCCTATCTTAAAACTGCCCTTAGGATAAAACTGCCCTTTTATGTGTTGAGTTTGGACAAGGACAAGTGTTGCAACGGCTGCGTCCACTTGCGTCAAAATGGGAGGGTGCAGCATAAGTTGGTAAAAACAGGGTTCATGATAAACTTTGGATAGGCGATTTCTCCATCACTAGTCTATTCTTTGCTATTTATAACTATTACTATCAAAATTGGCATCAGAAATGTATGTTTGGATAATTTTTAAAAGAAAAAGATGCTAGGGAAGAAGGATAATTAAATAAGTCTGAAATTCATAAATTCATGAATGTATGACTGTTGCATAAACTGCCTAGCTAGGCATTAGCTGTAGTATGAGGTGCAATAAAATTTAGTTTGATTGAGGTATTTAATATGTATATAATTGTTAATTATATTTATGTTTTAAGATATTTTTAAGTTCAAGAAGAATGACTTGTTTCAACTGATTCTAAATATTGAACACACCATCTAAATAATCTTGCAACATGTCATTTAGTTTATGTATAAAGTATCAATTTTATATTACATACAATACTTATCCTAAGTAGGCATAAGGAATCTAATTTATAATAAAATAAAAATGTTCTTTGTTTTGCCTTTCTATTCTAGTGGATCATCTCTCAAAATATCTTGCCATCCGACTTTCCTTAGATAATGCTACAGAAGGTGAAGATGGTAAGCAAAGGATAAATGGCTAATGTGAAGAGATAGCACCGTGACGTCATTTGCGTGTTTTGTCCCTGGTTCTGATAGGGTCAAAACCAATGTTAAGGATAAGTATAGGGTTCAGGTTAGCTTTAGGGACAGATTCAGGGTTCATGTTAGGTTTTGTTAGGGATAAATTTAGGACATAAATTCGTGGCCATGGTAAAATAAACACATTTACCGGATAAATTTGCTATCAAGGGATTTTTTATTAGTAATTAAATAAATTTGAAAAAATAATTTCTTCCCTGGGATAAATAAAGCAAAAATTTAAAAGTGTTGTCTTTGATTTGTTTGACTAAACTTTAAATGGGTCTGATATACCCTGGGTGAAATATTTTTCACTTATTTAAAAATGTTAAATATTTTGTTCAATAAAAAAAGAATTCACAGAAGGCAAATTCTACACTTAAAATGTAAATTTAAGTGGATTTATTTTCAGTAATGAATAAAAAAGAAAACTTTTAATATTTTATTAAATCAGCTCTCACAGTTAACCCTCAAACTGTGGCATGCATCATTCTGTAGTGTGGGAGCTTTTCAGAGCTTTTTGAGTGCCTTTTCAAATTGCATTAAATGACATAGAAATATTGAGACAAGACCTCAATAAGTATATATTTTTAGAAAGGAAAATGGATGGGGATAAAGTTGGCTCTATTGCCCACCCTGTAAAATATTTTGCTCGGTGTCCTTGACCTTGGAGTGCTCAAGAAAAAAAAATCGACAAAATGTCTTGCTTTCCAAGTGCTCATAACATCATTAATTTTTATAGATACACTTGAAACACTTATGTAAATGTTGTAGCCAATTCATTTATCTTTCAGAAAATGTATAGTTTGCTTAGGTTTTGATTGCATTAAACCTCTGAAAGCAATTTTAGTAATTTTAGGTCATTTATGTAAGAAACTGGGACCACAGCTAAAACCAAGACCAAGTATAAAATACAATATCTTAGGCAAAATAATTATTATTGACTAGCAGTAAACATTTAAACTGTGGAACTGATTTGGATTGTTAAACTATAAAATTTATTAGTTCTGAACTTTCATCTGTAGCTTTTTTGACTAAAATTCAGTCAGTCCTTGCCCAACCTCCGGGCCTGGCTGGAAGTCTAACAGCAGGCCTACTTCAGTATCACTAAGACTAGTATAAGATTCACGAGAAGAAGAATCTCAACTGATATTGTCATGGGTAATGTTAAAATCATCATCAGTATCACTTAAATCCTCTCCTAAAAAAAATTCAAAAATATTTCTATTAGTTCTTGCACTGATGGCCCAGCCATTTTAGCTTTAAAAAAAAAACAGCGCTATAAAACTCCAATTAAAAAGTACTTTTTCGTAAGTTATCAAGAAACAGCTTGACCCAGAAGATTATTTAATTATTAATAAAAGGAAGTGGCTATAATTTATAATTTCCGGTTAAAAATTGAATTGGAAGTTGCTATCGGGCCATGTTTTTCAATCGGCCGCCACAGCATATAGTGAGAATATCTGCCGATTTCTTTGGCCGACCACAGTTTGAGGGTTAAAATAATGAGTAATATATGCTGACAAAAACACAGATGAATTTTTTCAGTGATTTTTAAAGATTGCTTATTGAAATTTCAAAGTGTTCTAATATTCTAATATCCCAATAATGTATTTAATTTTGAGTTTTTTTCTAAGTCATTAACTGATAAAAATTTAGTAGGATAATCACTGTTGTAAAATCTTTTGTACCAGTACTGTGGATTAGTTTATTGTTGAGGACAATAAAAATTTATTTTCAGAAGATCAGTCTGGAAGCAGACTTTTTGACATCTTTGTGGCTACACATCCAGGTCATTTCATACTTCTTAATGGCCCCACAAGCCTCGAGCAAGTGAAAGAAAAATATTGGAAGATAAACAAGCCCCTGGAAATATTCTACTCTGTGAGAAAAAGTGCTGCTATGTCTTCATTAAAAAAAATACATTCAGACAATAAATAGCTGGATGGTTTATTTCATCCCATCATTTTGTTGTGACAATTTAATTTCCAGGTAGAAATCATTGTTTTTCTGTGAAGAATTTCAGAATTATGTAGTGAGAATCACAAATGAGCTTTCTTTCATAATAATAATAGAGCAATGAAGAATTATTTTTTTGTACAATCTTTTAGTAATAATTATAGTAATTACAATTTTAAAGCTATTAATTCATTTAAGAAAAGATATTTTAAATCTTTTGGATTTGCTGTCCAGGTGTTCTTCTGTGCTTTGTGAAAAAAAAAATTTCAGCTATAAACCCTCTCAAGTCTCTTGTAAAAAAAAAAGTTACTAAATTTACATCTAGATTTCAATAATACTAGCCATTAACCATCTAACACTTAAAAAAGTGGGTTGATAAATTAGTTACAATTAGATATAAAAAATATTTTTGACCAAATTAAGTTTGATTCATTATTGGTGCATTCTATTTTGTGTATTTAAAGCAATTTTAACAGATCTGGTTACTATTTATGACCATAGTTAAGTTTAGTTATTCTATTTTCCTTTTGCCTGGGTAATAACAATTTTTTTTATAAATGGCATTAGCATTTATATATTTCCTAAGCTACTAATGTTATGTGCTCTCTGCATAGCTAGTAGCTGGCACCATGTTAGCTACAGCAGATCCCCTGTGAATCAAGCTGTGGGTACTGTGCAAGATTTTCTTCAACTTTCTCAAATCTTAATCATTTAAGGAAATAAGTATAGGATGTGTTCAGCCAGGACTCCCTAGTCTGTAAATGCTTAATTCTGAAAATGATTCTTGGAGAGCAATCACTCTTGAAGTGTATAATGTCACTTGCTGTTTACTCCTTTGTGTTCACTTTGAGGTGATGAAAACAAGTTGTTCAATCAATGTTAAGCAACATATTTAATTGTAGAATTTTCTTTTACCCAACTTAGTGATGGCTTTATTTGATAAGTAAAATTTGTACTCTTTGCAAAATATAATGTGTGTGACAATAATTCCGAAACTGACACATCACCTGAACTTAAAGATTTGGCTTAACTTTCCTGTTTTTCTTTACAAATAAAATAATGTTTTTTATTGGGGGTTTTTTACATATATATGTGCAAACAGAATACTGCTACCCGTATTTGTAGTTATTATGAAATTTTTTTTTGTTTTAATAGTTACATGTTATTGCTAATTTTTATTTATGCTTCGAGGTCAATGAATGTAGTGAGCTTTATTGTTTGTCTCTGATTAAGGTAAATCAATTTTATTTTATGATTATGACAGTGACAGCAATTGTTGTTTTAATTTACCTTCCACTTCCATTAACAAAAATTAATCTGTAATGTTGCATTATTTATTAGAAAATGTATGTTTCATGTTTGATTTAAAAATACAAATATCCTCAAGGATAAGAAGTAATGATGTAATTGTGTAGGAGTCTCATGCATAATTTAGTACGGATAGATTTGATGCTAGTAGTTTATAAATTGTAACAGTTGATGTAATCACTGTAATAAGAATCTACATGTAGTGTCTTGTGTTTATTTCTAGTCTATTCTCTACGTTGTGTATACATGTATAATTATACGTTATTATAATTTATGATAAAAATTGACTCATCCCATGTTTTTCTTGGTCATTCTTTACCACATACATTCGTCAAACATTATAGTATAGTACTTATTCAAGTAATATGGATTTTGACTGGTTAAGATTAGTACAGTTATTGTAATTGTATTGAAAAATTTTCATGTGTTTGAACAATCATTGAAATTTTACTCCAGTAATCCAGCAATATTTTTATTTTAATGCACATACTATTAATGTACACATCCTGACACAAAAAATGGCAAGAAAATCTCATTAACTGAATTATTGATTTTACTCCACCAAGTAACTGGGATTGGGAGGAATAATTGTTTAATTTTTCCCCTTGTGTGGAGGCCCCTGGTTCCAGCCAATATTTATGTTTAAATTGTTGTGCTTATTAATTAAGGGCTGACTCACCCATTTCCATGAATGGTATAATTACCGTATTTTAAAGAATACTAAATTTTATGATAAAGTAGCTATCAAATACAAAAAGAACACTTTAGGAAAGCAGACTAACTTTTAGTAACTGTACTAAAGAAGAGAGTCACTGTTGCTGAATTCACATAATGTCCAGGAGATAAGAAATTAAGAAAGCATGAATAGAGGAACTTTTAGAGAATGCAGAGACAGCAGCTAAACAAAGGATTTGATCAAACTGTTTTTTTTTAAAACTTGTATGCACAATAACTGCTTAGTTACTTTGGTGGTTTGATAACGGGTGTGTATGTGGATTTGGGTTGTGTACAATATTATTATTTCTAATTAATAGCAGACAGCCTAACAACCACTGGCTAAATATATGTGATACTGTCTATTTACAATTACATGACAACTGAACAGTAAAAGGACTCAGTGTGCTGTGCCTGAATACATGGTAGCTAAGATAAGATAAAATATGATTATTTTATTGATCCAAATAAATGGAAATGTTTTTTGATTGCATTAAACATTTTCAGCACATAAATAAAACAATTTGAACACAAGGCATTTATAATAAATTATTTCAAACAGCCATTCAGTGAGTTCTCTTATCCAAATCTTATTAGCTCTCATTAAGAGGTGTGACTTCAGAGGGAGCAAGCCAGTAACTTCGTACAGATTGAGGAACAAAAGAATTTTTATATCTTTCAGTCCTCACCCTGATAGAAAAAATTCGTCCCAAACGACCTGATACTAAGTATCTGTGATAAAGAGGGTGGGATTTATCAGCCAAAATGTGTTTAGTTTTACAAAAACATATTTCTTTAAATATTTCAAGTGAAGGATGTTTAGTTGGTGTTATGTTCCTAGCTTTCTTGATTAGTCGGTTTATGCGGTGTTAAATGTCAGACGAATTCCCACACCAGCAGGTAATACTGAAATGAAGTAGGCTTCCAATTGTTGCACTGTAGAATGAGTTAACGACTTGCTTGTTTACACCAAAATTGTACAGTTTTTTTTGAGGTAGAACAGTCTTTGGTTGAATTTCTTATACAGCATTTGGCCGTGCTCATGCCATGTTAGCTTATTATTAATGGTGACACCTAAGTACTTGTATTCCTCCACTTTCTCTACTCTTTGATTTTTTATGTTGAGATCTGTAATCTGGTGTTTCCCCCTCCTGAAATCAACAACCATTTCCTTGTTTTTGAGACATTCAGCTGGAGAAAATTTTCATTGCATTAATTGATCAAGCTTGTAACTAAGTTGCGGTATAGGCCTTCTCCTTCAGATATTAAGCCAACAATGGTGGTATCATCAGCAAATTTTAAGATTGGAACGGTGTCGCTTGAGCTTTGAATATCATTGGTATATATGTTATACAGTACAGGGGAGAGAACGCAGCCTTGTGCCATGGTGCTTATTTCTCTGGTTAGAGATAATTGGTTATTTATTTTGACATATTGTGGTCGATTTGTTAAAAAGTTCAGTGTCCAAGCCTGAATATTTAAAGTGACACCTAACGAGGAAAGTTTTTTTTTATCATAAGGTGTGGTTGGATAGTGTTAAATGCTGATGAGAAGTCTAAGAATAGCATTCTGGCATATGTTTTAGGACTGTCTAGGTGATGGTAAAGTCTCTCCAACAATATTAAGATTGCATCCTCCGTACTTCTGGCAGGTTTTAAGCAAATTGGTGGGGGTCAAGTTTTTGCTGTACTTCATTCAAAATTTCTTTCAGAATTTTTTTTCTCAAAACATTTCATTACAATAGAGGTAAGTTCAACAGGTCGCAAGTCGTTGCACGTTACCTTATTTTTCTTTGGAATTGGTATGATTTCTGAAGTTTTCCAAATTGCTGGTATATTGTGAGTAACATAAGATAATTTATTTATTGAGTGCAGTATGTCAGATTAAAAGGCAGATATACAATCTGACTTAAGCACACTTTGACAAGGTCACAAATAATGCATGCATCAAAGCAAAACAATCACATTCTAAAAAATCTCTACTGACTTGAACCAAACCTAATTATTTAGATCAAAATCCTTACCAGAATTGTCATGAGTGTTCTCAATGGACCCAAGTGTTGTATTATAAATTATTCATCCTTTCCTTGTGAAGATGACCAAGGCCATATTCAATGGTGATTATGCAGATGACCAAGGCTATATTCAATGGTGATTATGCAGATAACCAAGGCTATATTCAATGGTGATTGTGCAGATGACCAAGGCCATATTCAATGGTGATTATGCAGATGACCAGGGCCATATTCAATGGTGATTATGCAGATGACCAAGGCCATATTCAATGGTGATTATGCAGATGACCAAGGCCATATTCAATGGTGATTATGCAGATGACCAAGGCCATATTCAATGGTGATTATGCAGATGACCAAGGCCATATTCAATGGTGATTATACAGATGACCAAGGCTATATTCAAAGGTGATTATGCAGATGACTTGTGAAGATGACCAGGGCTATTATTCAGTGATGATTATGCAGATGACTTGTGAAGATGACCAGGGCTATATTTAAAGGTGATTATGCAAAATGACTTGTGAAGATGATCAAGGCTTTATTCAAAGGTGATTATGCAAATGAATTGTGAAGATGATCAAGGCTATATTCAAAGGTGATTATGTAGATGACTTGTGAAGATGACCAGGGCTATAATCAAAGGTAACTATGCAGGTGGCTTGGTAGTTCTATTTGTGCCTGGAGAGCTTTCCCAACTTTCCCGCACGTAGAACAAACTTTATTTTTGGTCCTAGTTAGATTGATTCTGTTTTTAGTTTATAGTTAAAGTAGGTGCGTTTACTCTCCGAGAATTGCTCTCCAACACTGAGTCTGCCTTGCCAGCTTGTACAATTCATAAGTATTTCCCATGAATTTATGTCAATGGACATGGATTTGAATGAAGCTTTTAGACAGTCCATTTTTTTCTGCCCACCAGCTGAGCGTTTCACTTTGGAGAGTTCACTGAACATTAGTTATTTAGGAAGTCTGCTGTCTGGCAACATGCCCTGCCCATCTGTCTTTTCCTTGCAACATGCACTTCCCATCTGTCTTGTCCTAGCAACATGCCCCGCCCATCTGGCTTGTCCTTTCTGTATGAACGTGTGGATGCTAATGAAGTCAGCCTGTTATGGGACTTCTGTGTCAGGGGCTTTGTCCTGCCAGCTTATGTCATGAAGTTTGCGTAGACTGCATATGTGGAAATAGATTAGTCTTCTAGCATTTCAGCTGTCAACACGTACGTATCGCTAACATAACATAGGAGATGTTAATACGATTGCCCTATAAACTTTCAGTTTAGTGACAAGACTGAGCCCCCTTCACTCCCAAACACCCTTGAGGAGCCTTTCAAATGTAACATTTGCAAGAAATTTCTGTTGCCTATCTCGTCATCTATTGTAATTGACCTGGATAGGTTGCTGTCTAAGTATTTGAATTTTTTTTTTTTTTTTTGGGGTTTTTTCCCTTTAAGTGTTTTTTTTTGGTTTTTTTCAAGGCCTTTCCTGGAGTGTGTTGGTTTTTTTTGTTTTTTTTTTTTTTTTTTTTGGCATTAATGGCGAGGCCGAAGTTGTCACAGGTCTTTGCAAAACGATCAAGTGTTTGCTGCATTTTAAGTCCCGAGCTTGCACTAAGGGAGCAGCCATCAGGGAATACGAATACGAGGTCTAAACAAACGTTTATTTAACTTTCATAATGGCTTGCTGTCTCCTAAGATGAAATAGCCATCCATCTGTCCTGTGTCTGCAATAAATCCCATCATTTATGTTCATGAAAAGCACTAGGCAACATTGCCGAGCATACCATGCTAAAATGTGTCGGTGCTAAAACTAGAACACAGCCCTATTTTACGCCATTAGTTACAGGAATAGACTCCTCTCTAAAATTAGTAAAATCCATCACCCTGCCCGTCATACCATCATGTAGTTGACGTACTGTTTTAATACATCTACTCGGGCAGCCAAACTTCTCCATTATCTTCCATAGGATATCTCTACTGACTCAGCTGTGCATTGTTCTGAACGGAATCTAGGTGTAGTTGTAAACGACTAAGTAGGACTCTGGCCAAGATCTTCCCAGCTATGAAAAAGAGAATGCCTCGGTAGTTGTCACAGGTTTGACGACTGCCCTTTCTCTTGTACATGCATATTGTATTTGCCCCATTGAATTGCTGAGGGATAGTACCGGTACAATCTTTCAATATGGACTCAAATAGCTGTCAGTCGTAACAGGGCCTTAGCTTTGTAGACTTCGTCAGGGATGGCATTATCGTTTAGGCTATTGCAGCTGGACAATTAAGGACTTGACAAAATTAGTGTTTGGCTCATTAAAAAAATAATCTAATTCTCGTCTGTCAGTTAGCTGAGTTCCAACTTTGAGCTCATTAAAAAAATAATCTGACTCTCTTCTGTCAGTTAGCTGAGTTCCAACTTTGAGCTCATTAAAAAAATAATCTGACTCTCTTCTGTCAGTTGGCTGAGTTACAACTTTGAGCTCATTAAAAAAATAATCTGACTCTCTTCTGTCAGTTAGCTGAGTAGCTGAGTTCCAACTTTGTTAAGGATGGGCAAGCGGCTCGAGGACTGTGGTCCATAAACTTCTTTTATGGCATCGTAGAAACGTTTGGTACCATGTCGGTTGACATAACCCTGAGTTTTAACCTTCCTGCTGAGCCACGAGTCCTACATTTCTTTTGTACTTTCTGTTTTATTATGCGGAGAGCATCTTCTTCAACAGTGACGTTGGGTTGTTCTGATTTACATCACATCACGTAATGTTTTTCGTTTAGTAATGACCGTATCTCATTATTATTTTCATCAAATCAACCTTTCTTTTTGGGGATCGCTGGTCAGAGGTGTTTTAGAGCAGTGCGGTAGATAGTATTTCTCAATTTTGACCAGTTGGGTCCGAGTGCCGGGAGGCCGTTAGTTGGTACTTGAATCTTCTGGTTAACTAAATGGCATTCTCCAATGAAGAACTGAAACGCCGATTAGGATTGTCGTCCATTGCAGAAACTGTGCATGCAGGGTTTTTTTCAGCTATATGGGGGGGGGGGGGGGGGGGGGGAAGGGCCGCCCCGGAGCAAAAATATGTCCAACAATAAATCAACTGGAACTGCTGACACTGCCCCCCCCCCCAAAAAAAAATCTGAAGTGCCCCCCGGGGGAAAATTTCTGAAAGAAACACTGTGTGCATGCACGGCTTGCCTAAAGAAGGCCTTTAAGCTAATTTCTCAGGAAATCAATCAGGCGGACAGGCCAGGGAAAACAACGGCGTGGATGAGAATAATCTGCGGTATCAGAAATGAGCCATGCAGGGTTGCAGTCTACCCCAATTACGGATCTGCAAATGAATAAAATGGAAATGCACACATAGTTTCTATTCCTGTATAAAATATGTCCTAATCAAAACCAGTACCGGTGTTTGGTTCAACTATTTTGATTTCCATGTGGCTTGTGGAAACATGTTTAATTTATAGAGTAGAAGTGAATCCCTCCAACTGTTAAAGTGAAAATTGCTGACCATTCTGTCTCTAAGAATATGAAAATGTATCACGACCAAATTATGAAATAAGTTTAAAAAAAATATATTTTAAAAATCATTATTAAAATTAAAGGAATTTAATTTAGATGTAATGTGCGAAATAAATGAGATAAACCAAGATCTCCTAGTTACATCCCCTACCGGAAAGACGCCATTGCCCACCCTTGCGCCCAAAGTTCTTGTCTGTCCGTTGGTAAAAAACACGAATTTCTAGTCAATTTCTTCAATTTATTAAAATATTTGGTAGGTTTGTTAAATTTCCCCCAACAGAATTACAATTTTTAAAAAAGATAATTGGACAGCACTATATTTAAAAATTAAGTTAACATGCTGTAGCTAGGGTAGGGTTGCCACCAAATTTTCGTTGAATTCAGAATTTAAAATAGGCTGCGGCTATTTGGACGCGGTCTTCAGACCCGGAATAGAGTGAGAGGTTGGGTTTATTAAAAAAAATAATTAAAATATTATTGTTGGGTGTGTAAGTCAAAATTTGGTATGAAATGAAAGATAATTGAATGGACTATATGTTGGTAAACTTTCTTCTCAGATTAACTAAACTACCACAAACGAGATCCGAATAGCCATTTAGATTTAGACTTAAGTATTTTAGATACTTTGATAACAAAATTAAAACTTAAAAAAAAAATAACCCAATGACATAGTTGAATAGAGCTAATTTTTAAAACTATATGAGTTAGCTTTAATAATAATTGTACATTATACAGAATTAAACGTTTCGGCACATGCCTTCATCAGTACAAACAAACACAACACATTTAAATAAGTATAAATTAAATTTACATAATGTCAATATATATATCCTACCTAAAACAGAAAAAATATAGGAGAGGGCGCTCCTTTATCTTAACTTTTCATCCCCACAACCTAAAAGCTCGCTCTCTGGTTCTTAAAAACCGCTCCATTCTTATGGCGGACCCTGTCACAAATGCGATTTATAGAAAACCTCCTCTTTTCGCTTTCCGGCGGGACAAGAGCCTTAGGGACATGCTAATTAGAAGCCACCTCCCTGCTATTAAAGCATATAAAGGCACAAAATGTTGCAACCGTAGCCGTTGCAACTCATGTCCCTATGTGATCGAAACTGATACGATCACTTTCCCTCTGGGAGTATTCAGAATAAAAGATGGCTTTACCTGCACAAGTCGCAACGTGATTTACACCATCATTTGCAAAAAGTGCGGTAAACTATACATAGGAGAGACAGGTCGTCGCCTTGGGGACCGTTTCAGAGAGCACCTCTATAACATAAATAAACACGCTCTCTTTCCGGTCTCCAAACATTTCAATAGCCCTAACCATAATTCTCTTTACTTTGTTTTTGTCAGGTTTAAGCGCCCTCTCCTATATTTTTTCTGTTTTAGGTAGGATATATATATTGACATTATGTAAATTTAATTTATACTTATTTAAATGTGTTGTGTTTGTTTGTACATGCCGAAACGTTTAATTCTGTATAATGTACAATTATTATTAAAGCTAACTCATATTGTTCTATTGACACAATTTGTTCGTGTCTTATTAATATATTTTAAAGCTTTATTGCAGTCCAACACTTTTTATAATTAGGTAATTTTTAAAAGAATTATAACACCAAAATCATATTTTTAGCTGTTGTAGTTTTATTTTAAAGTTATGAATTTTTAAAGTACGACTTAATTTGTCCTTTTTTTAACATGGACCGCATCTCCACATTCTGTGACCCAATTCCACTGTTCGAGTCACGAGCTATATAACTCTTGTTTTAATGATAATTTTATTTTCCGACTAATGCTGTATTAAAAAAATAAGTTTAATAATGTTAACAATTATAGATAAATTTTAGCTTATCTAACTATGCACTATTTATATCAGTAAATTTAATATAATGTATTAATATATGGCTTTTCTGTTTACCAAATCTACGACATCCATTATACCGATATTTGCTATATAGTCCATATAAGGCAACTCATGCCCTAATTACAAAAATACTGTTAGGGAACTATTGAACTTTCAACTTTGGTACATGACTAATTCATTAAAGCTTTCCCTGACCTAGTTTAATAGTTTTTGCACTGCAAACTTTTATGAATGAAATCTCTGAGATAGTAGTAAATAATAGCCATTATACAAGTCATTGTGGATGGCCGCCATGACATTTTGCACACAGCGAATTTTGATCATGTATAATATCGACTCTACCGGGTTTTTTAACCTCAAATTAAAATATTATTCTTTCCATAACATTTAAATTCATTCTAAAACATAAGTTATCAAATATATTGATGTAAATAGTGGAAATAATTAAATATTTCCTAAGTAACGGCGCCTTCCGCCACTGAAAGGGGGGCGTGGCCACTTTCTTATCGAAATTGGCCTGAGCTACATTACCATATAGGGGTTCACTCAAGTGAGCATAACAAGTGATCGACATGTCCTAACCCAATGAGAATTGACACAAATACACATCGATAGATAATACAGAATAAGACTTTTTTTTTAAGAAATAAAAGTTGAACTTCTATACGAATTTTGTAGTGAAAGATGCCTTATATTTAAAGGGGAATCTCAAAATACAGGTCGATTGAAAAATTAAAAAAAATCAATGTAAATGTAGGCCAACATGTCTACCTAATTTTAAGGCCGGAAACGGAACTCAAATATATGTCGAAAGCACTCATTTAATAATTAATAGACACACACATCGGAAAATTAAAAACTCGGATTTTTCGGCGCCAATTGCCATTTCTGATACACAAAAAGTAGTAGCCTCTCTTGGTTTACTGAAGTATCTATGGTATTTAGTTAGGAGTTTAGTCTAAAACTAAAGCATGCCACAGTATGGTAGCTTAGTTACTGCTTAGTAAGTTAAGTAAGTTAGTTGCTAGGTGCCTTGAAAGAGCATCAAGTGACAATCCGACAGGTGTAAGTAGGCAAGCCTTAGTGGGACTTTGACAGCAGGGTTAAAATAACAATTTTTTAATTAGAAATGTTGGTTATCTTGCAGTTCAGGTGGGTGTTCTGATCGAATTTCATATTATTAATTATTATCGCATGTGAACTTACGTGTATTCTTCATTAACTTAAATCCAGGCAGTGATAGTTAACTATTACTGAATTATACAGCACATATTTTCGTTTAATTTCTAATTGGGGAGGAGGGGTTGGAACTTAATTAGATGTTCCGTTATTTTATAGGGGCCCAAACTTAGGCCTATTTTTTTTTTCTTATATGGGGTGTATAAATAATATAATTCGAAACAAAGGTTTCTGCTTGCGCATGGGTGAATGGAACGAGATCATAGTACACTAACATATACACTTCATCCATATTCGAAAACTGGTACTGAAGGGTAATGAACTCATAATTTTAATTTTTCGTAAAACTAGCCAATATACGCAACAATTTTATATAACTTTATTTTGTGAATGGGGGAAGGAGGGGTTGGAACTTAATTAGATGTTCTATTATTTTATAGGGGCCCAAAATTCTTTTTTTTTCTTCCTTATATGGGGTGTATAAATATAACTCCAAACAAATTTTTAGTTTGAAAAGTTAAGCATCAATAAATAATTTTGGTACACTTTATTAAAAATCTAATTTGTTTCGTTTTTTGTGAATATGCTTTTAGTTGAAAAATTGCAATCTGGCATGTAGGGTGAATTTAAAAAAAAAAGAAAATGGAGCGATCGTTTACGCTATGGGCTATGTACCAATAGGGGTTGTAAAAGTCAATAAAAAGAAAAGTTAGTGCTGTACAATTTAGTGTTAACTAATACTATCTGGACTAAATTTTTTATAGAACACATATAAGTTTACATGCGAGAATACGAAATTCGATCAGAAATAATATACGCACCTGAACTTGGAACTGCAAGATTACCGAAATCTTATGATTGTAAAAAGAACTTCTTAACATCGGACACTCAACTTCATGGCCTGGGCGGTTAGCCTTTGGCAGATAGTACAATACCTGGGAAACCCTACTTATGATTGAAAATCTTTGCAGTTGCAGCCTTCTTAATTACAATGGCTGATAATACAGAAGAAGAAACAGGAGATGAGATAAAAAATGAAGAGGAAGATGAGACCACAGAAGCCAAATCAGAAGTGGACAGTGCAGTTGTGGAGACAAGTGTGGATACTAGTGGTGAGGCTGCAGAAGCTGAGGATGCTGTCAAAACAGATGAAGATTTAGAACAAGAACTTAAGGAAACTCAAATCACTATTCCTCGTTATGCTCCACATGTAATACCTGAGTTTGAACTGAATCAAATGAAAGGTTTGAAAAAAAATCTTTTAATTGTTATTGTATTAGTTTATATGTCAATAAAAAAAATGTATGTTTAAATACCATTAGTCAATATTAGGTCTAATTTTAAGTTACTAATTATCCCTGAGTCTTATCCTCAAATTTTTGTGTTGAATTTAGATGTCCATACTTTTCACAGAACGTTGGATGTGGCATTTCAAGTTGTATCCAATAGATCAAGAAGATTGCAGAAATTGTATATTAGATGCTGCTACAAAAATCTCCCAGGAGGCTTGGTATTTTGTACCAAAACGCAAAAATGGTCCAGGGTGAGTAGAAAATATTGTTATGATTAACCTAGACGGACCGGAAGTTATTTATCATTGACATTGTTTAGTCAGAATTTCAAAAAGGCTGATTACAGATTATTAAGTTGATTAGACTGATAACCAATAGGGGTGTGCCGGAATCCGGTTCCGCCGGATTTTGCACTATCCGGTGAAATCCGGTTCCGCCGGATTTACTTGTATCCAGGACAACCGGAATCCGGAATATACCGGATTTCGGAATTTGCCAGATTTTGTGACTCACCGGATCATAATCTGAAATAAAAGTAATTCTCTTTCCCGAATTCCACACGATCACGATACATTAATCGATTGTTTCGAGCGTTGAGCTTGTTTAATGTTTAATATTCCGTACATACCAGAGGCTAGAGTCAGCACCGCTAATAGTGGCCAATAGTGTAGGGACTTTGATAAGAAAATTTAAACTTTTTGTAAAAATAAACCAATGGCATAGTTGAAAAGATGTAATTTTTTAAAGAATTATAACACCAAAATCATATTTTTAGCTGTTGTAGTTTTAAAGTTATGAATTTTTAAAGTACGACTTGGTTTGTCATTTTTTAACATGGACTGCATCTCCACATTCTGTGATCTCATTCCACCAATCCCGTCATGCGCAATGACTATATAGTTTATATAAGGCAACGCATTCCCTGCCTTATCACTAAAATACTGTTTAGACTTAGTTTAAACTTTCAACTTTGGCACATGAATAATTAATTAAAGCTTTCCCTGACCAATGGTTTAATAGTTTTTGCACACGGCAAACTCTTATGAATGAAACTCTGAGGTAGTACTACGATACAGTTATGCAAGTGGCTGTGAATGGTTGCCAATGACAACGTGTTGCACACGGTAAATTCTGATCATTTATAATATGGATTCTACCGGGTTGTTAAAGCTCAAATTAAAACATTCCAGTTTAAATGTCTTTAAAATGCATTCTGAAACACAAGTTATCAATTATTTTGATGTAAATAGTGATAATAAATTAATATTTCCTAAGTATCGTCAACTTCCGCCATTAAAAAGGGGGGCATGGCCAACCCCATGGCGAAATTAGGTTGAGCGAGCTGCATAACCTGCTGCGAACGCGTAGAAACATGGCGTCTCTCGTAAGACACTTATCCAAATGGAACGGAACTCAAATATATATCGAAAGTACTAATTTAATAATAAATAGACACACACATCGGAAAATTAAAAACTCAGATTTTTTGGCGCCGATTGCGAATTCCCATACACAAAAAGTAGTAGTCTACCTTGACTTACCGAAGTATCTACCAATAGTACCGGAATCCGGATCCGGCGGATTTCGCATAAGAAAATCCGGATCCGGTTGGAAAAAACGGATCCGGCACACCCCTAAATAACCAATAATCTTAAAAATTAATCACAGTTCAAAACTAGATTCCAGTATACCACCTATATGACCTTATGGTAACTTAAAATTGTGGTCGTGCCATATTATTTTGGATTGTAATTTTAACTCCAATCAAATTCGCTGTTGAAAATTACTTGGGCTTGGTTGTATTTTGAGTATGACTGATACTGTAGGACTAATTCTTGACCTTACCATCTGATTTGACATGTGATCATAACTAAAATGGTGGATTATGAACAATCATTTTGGCCTAAATTCAGTGTTTTAAATTGAAATTATTATTAAAATGTTGATATGGTCTAATTAGTGAGGTATTCCTAATATGCCTTCATAAAATTTGTTATCTGTTAAATGTTAAATATTAAATATTTATTGCAAACGGTATTTATATTTATTATTCTGTCACATTTTGAAATTGCATTTTATAAGATGATGTTGAATGTCATAAGGTATATAGTTAGACCTATGTTTGTTACATCTTTTAAATAGAATGGCTGAGCTGTGTATGGTCTCTAGTAATGAAGCAAGTGCTGTAATGTCAAGGATTCTTCGTATGCCGTTTTATCATCGATATGTAACTATTGAGGTGACACGAAGAAGTCAAGAACAACAAACTGAAGCAGATACTGATGTCTCTCAAAAACCTTTCACTAAAATAGAAGAGACAGGTACTTGGTTGGAAATGTTTTATACAAATCTTTTATTTACAATACATTTTAGCTTTTATGCAACTGATAAGTCTGTGTAGTTCCAAAACATATAGCAGACCTGTTTACTCTTATGATTTTGGTGAACAATGCATGATTTTCAGAGGTCTTTTACCATTGTACGCCATGGCGTGTCAGAACTACGATTTTATGAGACCTGGTTGAAAATATATACATTCTGGTAGTTTTTCAGATTAAACAAAAATTTAAAAATGTAAACTTTAGGTGTTTTTTTAGCCGAAATGTCCTTTTAACAGACCTGTTTGCTCTTATGATTTTGGTGTACAATGTATGATTTTCAAACGTCTTTTACAATCTCACGCCAATGACGTGTCAGAACTATGATTTAAGAGACTTGGTTGAAAATATATACATTATGGTAGTTTTTCAGTATAAAAAAAAATTTAAAATGTAAATTTTAGTTTTTTTTAAGTTTTAGCTCCTTTCTATGTCCAGCAGGGAATTTTTCGAGAAATACAATTGGCTGGGGATCATCTCTAATTATGTTAAATTTGCCCTGAGAGGGGAAGCGGGTAGTGTGTATTGATTTAGATTTTGTGTACATGTGCTGGGGGGGGTGTCAAAATATTTAAGATTATATCAGACCTGTTTACTCTTACGATTTTAGCGTACAATAACGATTTTGAGTTGTCATTTACGATTGTACCCAAAGTTCTATCACAACTACGATTTTAAGAGAATGAGTTGAAAATATATACATTCCAGTGTCATGGTCGGATCGCATGAGTTTTCTGTATCAACTTTTATGATGTTAATTTGACCAATCGTGGGTGAGTTTTTTTTCTCAGTGTGCCCCACGAGTTTTTATTTTTCTCGGGTGGTGTGTCGGGAGGAACCACAGTGACGTGAAGTCCGTTGTCTAGAGGTCGGTCCCCTGTGTACAAGCCACAGAACAATTTTCTAGGGTCTAGAACCCCTTTATTTCTATCTCCTACAGAGCTGATGTGACTCTTGTTCCAAGTATCAAACAAATGATGCAGAGATTCAGGTTTTTCTTATTTATTGGCTAAATATGCATAACAGTGGAAAACATCATAAGAAATAAGCTCTGGTGTTCAGAATAAAACGTGTACAGAAACCAAATTCCACATACTATACAAAATATAGTTACAAAAGCCTTCTTCCAAAGTATTTGGGGGGGGGGTGTCAAAAAAGTATGTGTGTAACTGGGTGGGGTGTTAAAAAAGGTCTTTTTTTTTTTTGCGCTTGTGCAGACAGACCATATATAGATGAGCCCTCGCGTTTGTTTGCTTAAAAAAAGTATGTGTGTAACTGGGTGGGGTGTTAAAAAAGGTCTTTTTTTTTTTGCGCATGTGCAGACATACCATATATAGATGAGCCCTCGCGTTTGTTTGCTTCGGTGCTGTATGACGTAATTGTGTTACAAGTATATCTTACGGTTGTACCGGGATAAGCGCAGAAACAGAAAACTAGAGAATGCATTCTCAACTGTTCCATGCAGCAACATTAGATTTTGACATTTTATAGGATCTGAGGTGGGCTTTTGAAATCTATATTTAGAACGCTAAAACATCTGTACTATTTTTAGTACCCCCTCTTCCTTTCACCAATTTACAGCTTGTGGTAGTTATCAGGCTGTAATATCATCTTCTTTTAGAAGTTACCCTTTTTGACGCCAGCTGAACTTGATCCCACTGGACACGCAATGCGAATAGTTATTATATACAGAATATATACTGTTTATTTATTTTCTATTAAGATACCGTATTGGGCGATTTTTAGACCATATTGTACGATTTTAGGAGTTCGAGGGTAAACAGGTTTGCTATAAAAATAACGCAGCCAAGTTATGGTGATGAGTTGAACTGTGCTAGGTGAAAAAAACTGAGAACACTAGTTTAAAAAAAAAATGAGAACGCATTCTCAACTGTTCCGCACAGAACATTATATTTGGACATATTTTATAGGATCTTAGAGTGCCTTTGAAATCCATTTTTAGAATGCCCTAAACAGTTGTACGATTTTATTAATACTCCTAACACCCATCTTCCTTTCACCCATTTACAGTTTATGGTAGTTATCAGTCTATAATATGTTAACAGGAAATAGGCTTAATAGATATTGATTCTTATTTTTGTAAAACCCAGCCCTTTTCTACAAAGATAAATCTTAGTTACTTAGTAGGTTGTACATTTTATTTTTAACTGATTTCCAGTTTGAATAACGTTCAATTTTATCAGTCACTTTATTTTTACCAGTGAGACTGTGATAATGTAATCTCCAAAATTCATCCAAATATTAATTGATATCTATAGCAGATATACATCTGCAAAACAAAGTGACAGCAGATTGCAATATAAACATCAGTCATTTACTTTTGAAAGTTACCTTTTTAAACGCCAGCTTAACTTGACTCCACTAGACAAACGATGCAAGTAGTTATTGAATACATCATATATACTGTATGTTTCTTTACTATTAAAATACTGTATTGTACGATTTTAAGACGTTATTGTAAGATTTTAGGAGTTCAAGGGTAACCAGGTCTGTTTAAATTTTTTCCACTATTTTTTCACACTACTTGAACGCAGTCCCTCTCTTATATTATATTTTACAAAATGTCTACTTTAAAGCAATTGTTACCTTATTGTTAGTTTAGAACAATTAAAATTTTTCAAACAATAAAACAGATTAAGCTGTATTTAAAAAAATACACATATCTTGATATAATGAATTAATGTTGACACTTTTTTTTCAGCTTCCATTGTGTTTGATGCCACAAAATGTGAGAAAATAAAAAACACTGCCACTTCTAAAGGTAAACAGAAAAAAAAGATTGCCAAGCCTTAGCTGATAAAGACTAAACATATTTTATACAAAGTAGTTAACCATGTAAATGTTAGTAATAACTTTAAAAATTACCTCAATATTCCCTATTCTATTGCAGCAGTTGTATTCTAGTTAATTCTTTTTTAGGAAATGTACTAAAGGACAATTATATTGGCCTGAATCTCCTATTGCAACTATAAATCTGGCTAATCAGATTTTTTACTGCTATTTCTAGCAAGCCTGTGAAGTAAGACAATTTTTTGAAATATTCTGTACCAATTTGTATTGTGGCCTGAAAATTTTACAAGTAAACCAGGGCTCCTGTGGATGGCCTCTTTTGGCGCCCCATATTAAACTCTGACATACCAATCTTCTTCACAGGAAACCTGAAACGGCGAAGTCTCTGGGTGCGATATTTGTCAGAAAACACAAGCCCAGAGATCCTTCGTGTTCTTTTTCCGCTCTCACAAAGCACTCAAGTACAAACGCATGACAATTTGCGGTGAGTAAGGGAGGACGCACAGCATTTTTTCTTGCCGTCCTCCCAAGTGGCGATCTGCCTGCTAATCTTGGATGGCCTTGCAGATCCTGTAATGGGGCCGTATCAGGCCTCAAGATTAACAGCAAAGTTTGATTTTGCTGATTTATCAGTCCATCTATTGAGAATTAAATCTCACTTAGTTGCTGTTGATTAACAGTTTTAATTTTTTCATAGCCAATGAAGTACAACTTAGGTTTCACTTGGGAAGTCGCTCCAAAATTACTTTTTTAAAAATTATCTATCATTAATTTTTATTTTAAGTTTTAGCTGTTTAATGTTTTCAGATTTCATAAAGGTAAGTTAATATTTTTAGCACAATAACTCTTCAGAATAGAAAATAAAAGTGGGATAAATACAATTTAAGCACTGATTATTTTTATATAAGATTTTTCATATCATGGGGTAGCCATATACATGGTTTGTCTCCCATAAATTTGTTATTTCAGAAAGACCAAAAACGTAGCTTGTTTTTCATACGTTCTTAGATAAGAGAGACTGAAGAAACAACAATGAATTCATACATTTTTTTTGCTAGAGGACTAGAAACAAAAGCTATTTTTAATAAATGCTAAGTCGAAGAAGCTTTTGATGAGATTTGATTTGAAAGAGACATCATTTTCTGTTACATGTTAAATTAAAAGAAAAATGCTTACTAAAAAAGTTAAAACAGTAGTTTAAGGGATTAAATATAAATCGACATTAATAAAAATTGACGGCTATAGAAACAATTGCTGTGGTTAAATAAAATGTTATAATATTTCTTTGGATAAACTAACATTTAATCAGTTAATAATTATTTTATTTTAGTATGGAGAAAGATTTTTTAAAGACTTAATATATGTCAACTATACTGGTACTGATGTTTGGATTATCAATAAATTACTGTGATTATACTGATTACTCTTTCAGTATTGGTCTGGTTGAGGCCCACTCTAAGACAGATGTACTTATTTTCATGAAGAGTTACATCACAGTGGTCATCAACAACACCCATATACTTGCGCTACAAAACAAAGAACCTAGTGAAAATGAAAGTGGTTAGTATGAAAAGCTGTATCAACCTGCAATACATTCTTGTGGAGGTGTATAGAGAATAGTGATAAGAAAGAAAAATGTATCAGTTTATCTTGCAGAACACACACAAAATGATTAATATTATGGGAGTTGATGAAGATAAAAATACTTTTACAATACCGGTAATTAAGGAAGACTGATTGGGAAATGGAATACCATTTTTCAGTTTGCATTCACCACGAATAATGGCAGACTGAGAGTATTATTTCAAATTGAATTATGACAGAAGTATTGTCATTCCTCAATTATTTTTATAAGCAAAATAATAGGTATATATGTTTTAAGTTACCTTTTTTATTTAGGAATCTAAATGAACATACTGACCCATTATGGATTTACTTTGCTGAATAATTTCAATGAAAACAAATACAAACTAAGTTTTGTTTCCTTTACCTACTTAATGATTGTGGTAAGCCGAATCAGATTTTAGCTCCTAAGCATTCAACAAACTTGAGATTTAAGTAACACCAAACGAATCTATAAAAAGGGGATAAATAAATATATTCGCTTTTATAAATAGTTGTATCAAGAACCAATCAGTTAGTTTTAAAGTGAAGTTTTTTAATGTGCTCCTATAATGTATCTTATAATGTATGTTAAATTAATCATACTTTTCTTGTAGAAATCTGAAATAAATTACCTGTAGCTGTAAACAGATCTGACAAATTTTTAAAGACACATAATCTCATATGTGTTTATAAGTTCATAATTTTAAATTACATATTAAACAGAAACCAAAGCTGAACTTGAAAAAACAGCCACAAATGTAGAGGAGCTACAAAATGCACCAACAGAAGTAGCTGATAGATCAGAACTTCGCAAAGATGAGAAAAACCAGACATCAAGGATTCTTAAACGCACATTACAGCAACAACAGCGAGCTGTCGATGGAAGACGGAGAGACCAACAAGGTCAGAAGCGAGGAAGAGGGGAGCCTCCAGCTAAGCGGGGTGTAGGAGGCTGGGGCGATGGACGCTTTGACAGACGAAATGGAGGAGGTGGCCGGTATGGTGGTGGTGCTGGTGGTTATGGTGGTGCTGGTGCTCTCTACCCAGTTGTTGGAGGTCGAGCTGGATATGGAGGAGCAGGTCAGTACCGATACATTGATAAATAGGGAATTGTTGACAGTTGCAAGAAAAGTTTATAGATATTTCTCAATTTAAGTTGACATTATTTACTAGCAACTACTTGCTACTGGAGATTTCCTACTTTGTTTCACATCTTTAAAAAGCAAAAAAAATTGATCTTGAAACTGTACAGAAATATACTTAAATACAGTCCAGATAAACTAGTAAGTTAGAATTTTACATACAGTTTAAGTTTAAAAGAAACAATGTCAGTTTAAAGGAAAAAGTATAAAATTATATTAAAAAAACAATAAAAACATGTGAATTTTAAATTTTGAACACGATTGTTAGTGATTTAACAAAGCTGTCGATTTTCCCCTACCTTTCCATGTTTAATTATTAATTGATATATACTTAAGTGAGACTTTAGAAATTAAACAAATACACATAAGTAAGACAAATAATTTTTAGTAGTAATAAATGAAGGCTAAGGGTGTTAAACCCACAAACGGTGGCATGCATCATTCTGTGGTGTGGAGCTTTTCAGAGCGTTGTGAGTGCCATTTGAAATTGCATTAAATGACATAGAAATATTGATACAAGACCCCTATAAGTATTTATTTTTTGAAAGGTAATTGGATGGGGATAAAGTTGGCCATATTGACACCCCGTAAAACAATTTTGCTCAGTGTCCTTGACCTTGGAGTTCTCAAGGGAAAAAAATCTACAAAATGTCTTCCTTTCAAGTGCTCATAACATCATTAATTTTTATAGATACACTTAAAACACAAATCTAAATGTGGCCAATTCATTTATATTTCATAAAATGTATAGTTTGCTAAGGTTTTGATTGCAATTAAACCTCTGAAAGCATTATGAATAATTTTAGGTCATTTATATAAGAAACTGGGACCACTGCTAAAACCAAGTACAAAATAAAAAATCTCAGGCAAAATAGTTATTATTGACTATTAAACATTTAAAAATGAACTGTGGAACTGATTTGGGTTGTTTTAACTATAAAATTTATTAGTTCTGAACTTTAATCTGTAGCTTCTGTGACTAAAATTCAGTCAGTCCTTGCCCAACCTCCGGGCCTGGCTCGAAGTCTAACAGTAGCCTCAGTAGGCCCATTTCAGTATCACTAAGACTAGTATAAAATTCATGAGAAGAATAATCCCAACTGATATCGTCATGGGTAATGTTAAAATCATCATCAGTATCACTTAAAACCTCTCCTAAAAAGCTTTCAAAAATATTTCTATCGGTTCTTGCACTGAAGGCCCAGCCATGGCTTCAACCATTTTAGCTTTTAAAAAAAAACCAGCAATATAAAACTCTGAATTAAAAGTATTTATTTTCAAGTTATCACAAAACTGCTTGAACCAGAAGATGATTTAATTATTAATGAAAGGAAGTGGCTCTAATTCCGGTTAAATATTGGATTGGAAGTTTCTATCGGACCATGTTTTTTATCGGCCGATTTTTTCGGCCGCCACAGTACAGAAAATTTGGCCAACCACAGTTCGTGGGTTAAAGGTTACATGGTAGGTGAAGTTGGGCTGGAAGGCAAGGACAAGGTGGAAGAGGATTGGGTTGACTGGATTATCTCGTAATATATTAAAAGGAAAAGTAATTTTAGTGGTCAGGAAAGGATGTGGGGGTTGGGTGTGAAAATGACTATTAGTAGAGATGGTCAGTATCAGTACATTTGACATCAGTTCTTCGTGTGTTTTGTTTAACTAATTAGGCTTAAGTACCAATCCTTCCCTCAGAGCCAAACACTGGTCAGTTTGTTACAATTATACAAAAAAAACCCATGATATTAAGAGATGATGATACTAGGAGTTCAACTGACAAAAATGTATTTTCTCTTGCTAGGACTTTTAAATCCCCAAGACATGGCGGCCGAGATGATGATGATGCAAGCCCAACTCAATCAAACGATACAAAACCAATTAATGATGCTTAGTCCAGGATCAAGGGGCGGTGGAGGACGGGCTGGTGGTGGTTATGGTGGACCACGGTTTGGATCAGGTGGTGGTGGCGGCGGCGGTGGTGGCGGAGGTGGTGGCAGGCGTGGTGGAAGAGGTGGCGGCGGCGGTGGTGGTGGTGGAGGCCGAGGAGGGAGAGGAGGTGGAGGACGCAAGTAAGTCTTTTAATCTTAAATTTTTCTGATAATTCTTTTTGTTCTTGTGGAATGATGGGCATTTATTTTAAAGAGGTGAAAGGATGCAAGCGCTGAAAGGAATTACTAAAAAAAAAAAAGTAATTGCATTTCATTTACTGTCACGATTATATCTGTTTAAGTACAAGTGGATTTTCTTACTTGAAGTTAAGCATTTAAACTGAAAGGAGTAGGTGGACAGAGGAAAATTGACTATTTCTTTCTTTAAAATATAATAATAAAATAATATTGGTATTATTGTATAAAATATATATTAATTTAATGAAAATTTCATTGAAAAAGATACCCTTATTTCAACGTTAAGCCACTGCTAGCGTAACAAGGCATATATAAAACTAAATAGCTGGTCATTTCATGTCACAGGATACCCTACATTTCAAGTAAAATTCACTGTAAATTTGCAATGATCTTTAAATCATCGTTATTTTCAATTTGCCTTTTGACTTATATATTCACATTTACGTTCTTTAAAAGAGAAGAGCAAATATTTCACTTAATTTAGCTTCCATATTTATTCTGATAATAAGAGACTATCTTTTATAATTTTAGGGGTTTTGGAGGAGGATGGTGAAAAATCTAGGATATCCCTTTGTATAGGTATGTTATTTTAAACCGTCTAAATGAAGTTGGACCTTTTACCCTACTTTCAGAAAAGTAGGCTGACAGAATGTGCTAACTCAAAAACCATGTTTTGGGCATGGTATAATCATTCATAATGTCACTGAGCAATATTATAAATATAATGACATGGTGTCAGTATATCTGTAATCTGTAATTTTAATGAATACATCAATTCAGAAATATACATGTTTAACAAATTACTATTTTTTAAAGCTATTTGTTTCCATTCCACCCCTTCTTGATTTTGTTAGAGGTGGTCGTGTCTCTCCCCCCCAGTAACTTGTGAAGTTAGAGCATAAAATATTATGCTACTAGCACAGAAGAGTGTTTGAAATCATTGAGACCCTCTTTAAACATACAAATTCTTTGATTTGGTTGAATGCCAATGGTATGGATAACCCTATTTCCAATGTTCCAGCTCCCTGAGATGAAGATGGCCTACAGAAGAGGTGACTGCAAGCAACGGATAGATGGTTTCAACTGGAATGTCTTGTAAATGTTATGTCAGCTTTACTGTTAGTCGTGTCTTTAATTTGGACAATGTAAATACCTGTCACTGAAAGCATGAGCCTTTTACTGAATGAGTTGATAGTGTTTCATCATGGCTCGGTCTTTACAATTATATAAGTTGAAAGAATGGAATTTAAATTTTTATATTTAAAGTAACAAAAATCATTTGCAAATAGATTATTGGGACATTAATACATTGGCACAGCTGATTTTTGTAAACTAAATGATGGTCACTGACAAATATTTCTGGATTAAATCATGTTCTGAGAGAACACCTGTTATCAGAACTGAAAGGTGTTCTCTTTTTTCAGTGTTAAACTCCTTTCTAGTGAATCACTGATTATGGAGATATCATTGAATCTGTTACAAAACAACAGAGTAAAAGCACTTCCCCAAAACTGTAGCAATGCCCATTATATTGTAAGTTGTTTCATTGAAAATCATCTAATTCATAACTCATGTAGCTAATCAATGTTTTTAGTTTAATTTTTCCCTGATACTAAATGGGGGCATGTTCATTGTTTTTGAGTATTTGAATGTACAATAAATTGCTTTATGGAATTGTCACACCCATTGTTTGTTCTATTTTGAGTTTGAAAAATCTGAGGTTTATCTCCAGGTGAAGTGTAGAAGTAGCTTAAATTGTGTATTAAACAGGTTTGCTGAATTGTTGAATGTTTAAGGAGGTGAGTGGAAGTGGAACATTTGACAGTAACATTAACAATCTGTCAATAACAAAATAAAGTTGAAGAAATTCTTGTTACATTTTGGGTCGTTCATTTTTAAAACGGTTTTACATTTTCATACCTGTATTTAAATATTCACTAATTTAGCTCTTACCACTAATGTAAACAGCCTGAAATAACTTAGTTCAAAGCTGCATTTGGTAGCTGACTGGAGGGGGTCGAGTTTGTATGTACCAAGAACCCATGTAATACAACAAAGCAAAATTAGTAATGGTTACCAGGTGTATGTATGGGAAGGAAATTTACACAAAGTCCTTCATTGTGTCCTCCAGATAGAGACAAGTAAGTAAAAAGACTTCCTCTACATCAGTGTTTCCCAAATGTTTAAGTTTGGCGGACCGGTGAACAAGTTTAGAAATTTACCAGGGACCGGTGCATGATTTATTTTTATACTTTTATTTCTATTTGACAATAAATATTTATGTTATAGGGAACGGCAGCGTTAGGCATGCGGACCGGTGAAGGTCCACGGACCACCATTTGAGGACCATTGCTCTACATGTATTTGCAAATGAATTGAAATATTGCTAGATATATTATTCTAAATTAGCATTTCCAACCCTTTTCTAGGTTATGAACCCCCCTACAACTACGGGTATAAAATTTTTAACAGTCTTGCACCCTTATGAACAGTTTGTCTCAGTCTTGCACCCTTATGAACAGTTTGTCTCAGTCTTGCACACCCTATGAACAGTTTGTCTCAGTCTTGCACCCTTATGAACAGTTTGTCTCCGTCTTGCACCCCTATGAACAGTTTGTCTCAGTCTTGCACCCTTATGAACAGTTTGTCTCAGTCTTGCACCCTTATGAACAGTTTGACTCAGTCTTGCACCCTTATGAACAGTTTGTCTCAGTCTTGCACCCTTATGAACAGTTTGTCTTAGTCTTGCACCCTTATGAACAGTTTGTCTCAGTCTTGCACCCTTATGAACAGTTTGTCTCAGTCTTGCACCCTTATGAACAGTTTGTCTCAGTCTTGCACCCTTATGAACAGTTTGTCTCAATCTTGCACCCTTATGAACAGTTTGTCTCAGTCTTGCACCCTTATGAACAGTTTGTCTCAGTCTTGCACCCTATGAACAGTTTGTCTCAGTCTTGCACCCTATGAACAGTTTGTCTCAGTCTTGCACCCTTATGAACAGTTTGTCTCAGTCTTGCACCCTTATGAACAGTTTGTCTCAGTCTTGCACACCCTATGAACATTTTGTCTCAGTCTTGCACCCCTATGAACAGTTTGTCTCAGTCTTGCACACCCTATGAACAGTTTGACTCAGTCTTGCACCCCTATGAACAGTTCTACACTCAGAATTCATGGAGATAATTAACAACCATGGTCTGGAACAGCTGGTTAAAGAACCCACGAGGGGGGAGAACACTCTTGACCTACTCCTCACCAATTGTCCACATCGTGTCCAAAAAGTTGAGGTCATCCCCGGGATTTCGGACCACAGCATTCCTTATTGTGAATTTCAGGTCAACACACTAAAAATGAAACAAATCATTCGAGAAATCCCAATTTATGCCAAGGCAGACTGGGATGGCCTAAGGATTGCAACCACAGAGCTAAGCTCAAACATGAAGGTGATTCAAGGTACAGCGACAACAGACGAGCTGTGGG